AAAAACTAATGTACGTTGTATTTCATTTTTTTTTTTTATTGTTGAGAGGAGCGCGCGACAACCTTTTATAGCCGCACGTGTGCAGAAGAGGAGTTGATGGGGGATGTGAAGCGGAATACACACTCACTCCATACATGTACACTCTAAGAGGGATTGATGTGCACACGGAAATATTTTTACAGCTACACCCCCACCCCCTACACACACACACACACCTTCGTCACTGCTTCTCCATGTTTGGGCGTGGGGAAAGGCTCGGGAAGGGGGGAGTTTAATACTTCCACACTTTCCACTCACTCTTCGTTTGAGGCATGCATATGCTTTTCTTGAAATAGACCATTTGTCCAACGTTTTTGTTTGTTTTTTTTCAGGGGGTGTATGAGTGTGTGTATGTGGAGAAATGGAAAGACATAATGCCGACAACGTTGCAAGGAGAAAGGTCAGAAAAAATTCGAATGAGCAGAAGTTTTCTGTAACATTCTTCCACTTCAAGCACCCTTGTTAACAGCAGACATGCACTGACCAACATTTGTGTACGTCCGCGGCCATCAAGTGGAACGCAGGTGTAAGCTTAGAGGGAAAGAAATGGAAACAAAACCGCAAAGATAGGAAAATATAAATAACGCAAAAAAAAACATTCATCATGGAAGAATATACATTTGCATGCATCTATGTATCGAGGCCTTCATGATGTTATTATTTGAAGTTAGCAACACCCGCATTATGCGTGGTAGATATTTGGAGTAGGGGAAAGGGGATGAGTTCTTCATCAGTAATTGCACTAGCCTCCCCCATGGTTTGTTTGAATTTCAATGTGTTTTTTTTTGTTCGGTATCTCTCCCTGCCTGTGTGTGTACAATTTGGATATGAGTAAGGCGCATTGATGTTTTGATTGCGTCCGATTGTTTTTTTTTTTGCGTTTTTTTATTGTTTTTGATTTTTTTCTTGTTTTGAATTTGTGGGCCTTCTTTATCAGATCCATGTGTTTTTCGTTCTCACATTTTTATCTCAGCATTTGTGGATTCATGCTGAATTGCTTTCTCCGCCCAGTCAGGTTGTGTGGACTGACATTGGGTGTATTGCTTCTCTCCTGCGAGGCGGGTTTTTGCCTGCGCCTTGCTTGCTTTTTGCGCTCGCATGCATGCGCGCTCTGTGTGTGTGCGGGTGCTCCAGAGAACTTGTGGAGAGGCGTGAGGACAGGAGCGGGTGTAACACATCCACATACATGGATGTGTGTACCTTTAGATGAAACTGTGCCTTTGCGGCGGAAGAAGACACTTGGGGAAAGGAGGAAGAACGGAACACACCAACGGCTTTGACGGGGTGATTGACAGAGCGAGGGAGTGGGGTTGAGAGTGATGTTTGTAAAACAAAGAAGAACAGTTTTTGTTGTATTTGGCTTTGCAGGTAGAAATGCTTATTTTCCAGTTTTACTTTGAATTGGGTGACATTAGGCTCTAGACCTGCAGAAGGGTGAAACACCCAAGCCAACAGCAAACGAAACAAAGCGAAAGAGTGAAGATAAAAAAAAATTTTTTTAATGGATGGAAATTGTCTTTTTCATTCCATGTGCCAATATATATATCACTCTCTCTCCACTGTTTGTAGATGTGGGCCCCTAAGCCAGTAAGCAGGGTCCTTTGTCAGGCCACCTACGGGAATAGGCAATTTGAGGTTTAAAAGGAGGAGAGTATTGAATTTTGTAATTATGTGTCCAAAGGAGGGATGAGAGTGGTTTCGATGATCATAGTGAGGAAATACGGGTGACTATAAGAGAAGTGTATGTGCGGCTTCAGTCTGACAGGATTCAGATTACGCAACTTGTATTTGCAGATGACTCTCCCCTTGTTATTTTTATGGATGCTTGGAGCCTTTTGTGTAGAACTTTTCATCGAACTCTTCCTAATTTTTGTTCTACTTGTGTTTATTCTACTATACCTTGTTCGTATGTTTGTCTTTTAGGCACCGTTTTTTTTTAAAAAAAAATTTATTGTGTGCGTGTGTGTTTGGATTTTCTCTTCTTTCTGCCTTATTTGAGGGGCGTGAGGATGTGTGTATGTGGGGGATGTTTTCACATTCCCTTTGGGGATTCCTCTCTTTATCTTTTTTTTTTTTTATTTGGATGCTTTGAAATTTTTTTTTTTGTTTGTTGGGAGTCACCATTCCTTCAGTTTTTATTCATATTTACACAGGGGATATATATATATATATATCTATCTGTATTTGTACTTACATTTTTCGTGACGTTGCGATGACCACAGACGCAAGCACACAGGGATAGGTATCCTAACCGTATGAAGTTATGTTTTTGTGCCTATTTTATGCAAGTATTTTCTCCACTGTTTTCTTTTTTTTGCATATCTAGCACGGAAGTTGGTGTGGCCAGAACTTATTCACTGGAAAGTGCAGAGCCAACGAGACTGACGGAAAGAAAATGTGAGAAGCAAAAACAACTAAAACGAGGAACAGACGATTCAAACGAGGAGTTTGAGGTGAAAGTTGCACCGTGTGATTTATACGTAACACCTGTTCTCGCGACTGCGCTCGCTGTTACCCCACGCTGTCAGAGTTGGACCTTCTTTGTTTTTTTTTTTGTTGTTTTGGCCTGCTTTATCATGTATAATTGTGCCTTGTAGTTGGGGGTTTGCATTTTCACTGTGTTCCGGCGAGTGATACATCCCTCGTGTGGGGTGTTTGCGCAAAAAGTTCTGAAATTTTTACGTTGGGCTTTTCAGGTGCATGTTCTGTGGTTAATCTTTCTCACTTTTCCCTTTCTTTTCTCCTCTCTCGTTGGCGCACATGCCTATGAGGCGCTGCAAGAGGGAAGCGGTGACTTTTTTTTTTTTTTCAAACGACAGCACTTGTAACGGTGATAAGCAGCCACGTGGGGGAGCTGGAGGAGGAAACACAAAACTTAAGTAAGTAACGTAAAAAAGAACAACAACAGAGAAATCACACGAACACACACGCAAAGGCGGGGGAGAGGAGTTGCTGGAAGTAATGGGCGAGGAGGAGCTGCGCAGGTGCATCTTGATGGGAAACCTGCGGGAGCACTACAGTCAGGCGGCGGCGACGGAAATCAATAAATATGTAGGAGATTTTATGGCGTATTTAAACAACTTTGGCACCATTCGTTCCTCGTTTTCTATGAAGGACAACCAGACGCTTCTTGTGCTCCAATGCCCGCTTTTTGTCACGCCTCCGCAGAGCGGGGACACTGGAGACCAACGCAGCAATAAGGAGTTGCCTCCTTTGTTGGTTGAGGTCTATTTTCCTCTAATGTTTCCATCTGTTCCCCCGTGTTGTAGTGTCGTGGCCGAAAAATACAGGCATAAAGGCGTTGAAAAGTGGTCTATACGCCAGCCCTCGCGAGTTGTGGCCTCCAATGGTTCAGTATATTTATCTGAGCTTTCTTTGCTAAGCGGTGCCACCCCACCCTATTCATTGCTGGAGATCCTTTTGGCGCTGACAGAGCAGTTTGAACTAGAATTTCCCCTTATTTCGGCACACCATGAGGCGAGGGACGGCGTGAATAATTCTACTCATGACCATCGTGCTAGGTTAACGAATATGTCAAATGAACATCGAAATGCTCTAGAGAAAAAAGCAGCTGAAGCATTAATGCTGCATCTACTTTCAAAGGCAGAAGGATATCTGGACACGCGGGAGCAATCCCTCACCCGAATTGCGCGTCTATATAAATGTGGTGGAGCTGTGCGAGAGGCCCGTGGACTTCTTGAGGAGAAGAGGTCTGAACTGCTTCCATATTCACTCGAAGTGGAGAAGGTGGAAAAACTCGTTGAAAAATTTACTCAACTTTCAGATAACTTGGAGGTTCATTCCACGTGCATAGTGCCTGTGGATGATCTACAAGCACGTGCGCTTGAACTTCTCAGTGAAATTCACGCCCTCGATGATGTTTTAGAGCTGCTTGAGAGATCCCTCAAGGCTGGGCAGCTGTCTTGTGAGGAGTATGTGCGGCGTGTTTCTGACATTGGACGGAAACAGTTTGAGGCACGGTTTCTGTTTGCTCGTGTGGCTGAAGCTGTGAATCGTGTTCGTGCCAAGACAGGTCAACAGTTGCCAATTACTCTTCCACGCGCCACCTCGAAGCCAGCTGTTAACGACGGGTTCATTCAAGTGCCGACGAAGTTGAACAATGTGGATTTGTTGCTTAGGGAATTTCCGGAGGTAGGCTCGGAGATGGTGAAGGCGGTGCTCAACGTTGTGGACGGAAGCGTCTCGGATGCCCGCGTTCAGCTGAGGGCAATGCTGTCGTAGTGTCGTGACGTATCTTTCTCTTTCTCTATTCCAACGTATGCCTGTGTTTGAGATGGTATTATAGATGTAATTCTTTTTTATTTTTCTTGTGTTCGTTTGTTACCTTGTTGCGTGTTTGTTATTGATTATCTTTTGGATAAAATGAAGATATACAACCTTGACCTTTCTTGTGCCGTGTGGTGCTTGTCAGCTTGTCTGTTTGAATGCGTGCGTGCGCATGTGTGATTTCACGCGCTCCCTCGTCGTTCTATACACTTTCGTTTTTTTTTTTTTCTGTTGTTTGTTTTATCGTTTCATCCCGATTGGTGACGATGACGTTCTTAGCTTTTTGATCTCTCCTTCACGCTCCCACTTCAATCTCACGTAAGGGCTTTAGAAAAAGTCCATCAACCTGATGAAAACATCGAGCGACTCCCGGCTGAGTCCGATGGATAAGTGGTACAGGGAGCTGCTGTATTGCACCAAACCAGCCAACTTGAGTGATGTGTATGGGAGAAAAGACGCTGCAAAGGCTGTTGCACGCCACCTACACGACTACCTGCCACACGCCATGGATCACCCTGCAAGCTTGTGCTTCCTTAAGAAGGGAAACAATTGTGTGGTCACTGTGAATTTTCTCCTTAGTGTGGTTCCGGACAGCGGCACGGTTCCTGTTAGTGTCGATGTTGGAATTCTGTTTCCTCAAACGTTTCCCAAGGGCCCACTGAAGTGCCGTGTGCGGGTTCGTGGTGCAGAGATCAATTTCGCAGAAGGCATCTTTTCAGATGGAGTTGAGGTGCATCTCTCTGAACTGGCGTTTTTAAAAGTCAAACCATCTCCGTATCCACTTGTAGACGTTGTCAAGGCTATTTCCCATGAAATCAGGGGGAATTTGAAGTTTTTCACCACAGATGCCTCTTTCCAACACCAGTGCCAGGGCACAAGTGGGTCAGAGGATCTAGATGGGCCTGCTATTTTGCAGAAATGCATTGTGTCCCGTAGTCCCGTTGTGCTGAGGCCTGGAAAGGGGCAGACTGAGAAACTTTTGCAACATGCATCAATGGAAGATTCACGTATGAAGACTCTCCGGTGGGCGTCTGAACTTCTTTTCGCCCGGCAAATTTTTTATGCGGAGCCGTACCTTAGTTTTAGGGAGGAGAGCGTGCCGCTACTGAGGAAGTTGTATGCGTCGAGGGAAATAAAGATGCAAGAGCAGCATGTCCTTAAGGGACTCATAAGCCAACTACGCGAGGCATCTGTGAGGGTGGCGTCTCACGAACAAGCAATAACATCGCTACAACGTGGTGTCGATGCTTCTGAGGACTCTTCCACGTGCATAGTGCCTGTGGATGATCTACAAGCACGTGCGCTTGAACTTCTCAGTGAAGTTTACGCCCTCGATGATGTTTTAGAGCTGCTTGAGAGATCCCTCAAGGCTGGGCAGCTGTCTTGTGAGGAGTATGTGCGGCGTGTTTCTGACATTGGACGGAAACAGTTTGAGGCGCGGTTTCTATTTGCTCGTGTGGCTGAAGCTGTGAAGTAGTATTTTTTTTTCTTAGTTAAGTTGTGTTATGATGTAATGTCAAGGCGCTTTGATGAGATAATCTAAGGGCAACGTAGACATTTGTTCTTGTTTTGTTTTGCTTTTTTTTTTTTGCACTGAGAATTGTTCATCCTTTTTTTTTTTTCTTTTCTTTTCTACTTCGTGGTGCGCGAAGAAGTTATGGTCTGTTGGATGGAGCGGTGTTCCTGCACGAGGGTGTGTGCCGCTGCTTTCACATTTCATTTGTAGTACTCTGGAGCCTTCTTTTATTCATCGTTTGCTGTCGTATTGCTTGAGGGGTGGGGGTGTAGTTTTATTTTCTATTTGCTTTGACGTTTATTATTATTGTCATTCTTGTGGATCGAATGGTAGCGAAGGAGCTTCGCAAAGAGGGGCACTATAGTACTGGTAGTAGTGCAGGCTGTGGTCACACGCGCGTTTCTCCCAGCCTGCGGATGGCACGGATCGACGTATCGTCGGATTCCAGGAGTGACACACTCGTGGAGGTGCAGCGACTCCCGCTGCCACTCCCACCATCGGAGAGGCACACCACAGGGATCTTCGTCCCGGAGGAAACGCCAAACTCGCTGAATGGAATGGCCTTGTCAACACCTGTAGCCTCGTTAAGAGACAATTACAAGGAAAAGAATTCATTGAACCACCCTAATGATTTGAGCATCACTGTTGCTGGAATAAACACGGAGTGGGGGAGGCAGGAGGTTGCAAAAGTTCGGGGAGATTTTGAATCGTTGAAGTTGGCATCATCAGAGGCAAGGCCAACGGTGGAGAAAGATGGAACGTGTGATGCCGATTTGTATTCCAAACGTAGCTCCAGACAGGCAAAGAGTAATGGATCCATGACACAGTCGACGGTGGTTAGACACGGGCAGAATTTGGCGTTTAATCCCTCGTTAAACGCAACAAATTCGCGGGTCACAAATTATACGATGCGGGTAGATGGGGCAGGTGGTAGGCCTCGGACGCAGCTCTCAGAATTGTTTCCTTTGGTTACTAACAACAGTGCTCAAGGCGGCCCTCTTGGGTGCGGAGCCGAGACTCATGATGCTGACACCACGTGGCTCTTCTTGACAATATTGGGAATGAGTCCACTTCATCCTAATACTTCTATTGTACACCCGTTTGTACGAATGTGGTTGGTGAATGGGGTGACTGGAGACAATCTCATTGAAAGTGGCAGCGGTGTGGCACCGTTTGTCGTGACACATCCCGTTGACCTTCGCCTTCGAGGCACACGGGCACCATGGTGGGGGGCTGAGTTTACTTTGCGAGTGAATTCGCGTGTTGTACGTGATGTTTCTTGCAACGCCGTCTTCCTTTTAGAAGTTCTTGATGTGGGCACGGAAACCATTCACGGATTCCCGCTACGGCGGGATGGACTCTACCCAATTTGTTGGGGATTTCTGAAACTACATGACGTCCATGGGAGGTTAAACGTAAGGGACCGGCTACTGCTGCAGATGTTCCCCTTCCCGCAGCGCACCTCATGCTTCACGAGGCTGATGCAGATGTTACCCTCATTTTGTTTCCCCAACTCCTCTTCTTTTTCCACTCAGACCATTTGGACAGGGGCGGGGAATATGTCACCATTAGGAGCAAACTCATTCCGTGCTGCGTCGGATGCAGCAAATCAGGTTTCCTTTACAAATGGATGCCCACCAGAAATATTCTTTGTCTACCGTAACTCCTGCAATCGCAAAGTGCCACACTCCACCGGAATGCTTATCTCCCTGAAGGAGTTTGACAAAGGTGACTACCGTCCAAGGGAAACACCTATTTTTCCGTACGAGGAATACTTACTGAATCAGTTATCTGTGCCTGAGGAGATTCAACCCAACAGTTTAGTCAGTATGTCACATCCGTCTCCGCGAATGAGACGGACGAGGGATGCGCTGCTGTGTTTAATTAATACAGATGCGCTTTCAAAGTTATACATTCGGGAGAAGCGGGAACGTGTTGTTCCACCAACTGTATTGCTGCAGCGAGTGCAAATTCGGGGCAGAGTTTCATGTGTAGCATTTGCGGACGGTGGCACCGTAGTTGCGATGGGAGTGACATTTGGGTTTGAGCATATCGTTCAGTTGCGGCACGTGTTTATGCCAGAGATTCCTGTCATTGGCATGTTCCGTGGCCACGCTGGGTACATTCATCATCTAGCTTTTTGCAACGATGGCAAACTGTTGTTATCGTGCTCCTCCGATAAGACGGTGAGGGTGTGGCGTTGCGATATCCCGTCTTCTCCCATGGAGGCAAACACGGTCAGCGAGAGTAATTGTTTATGCACTCTCCCTCACTCCTTCCCAGTGTACAATGGTATTTTCTACAAGAGACATATTATTACTTGCGGCTACGACCCACGTATGTTCGTCTGGAGCTACAATAAAGACCCTTCTGAGAAGCCTGAAAAAATGAATTTGGATGCTGCTTTACGTCGGACTTCACGACAAGAAAGTCAACGCATTCCTAGTGGCTCTGTGATGTCGAAGACGGGTTTTTTGTCCTCTTCCGAAACAGATTCGCTTAGGGGCGAACTTGTGTATGTGACTTCCGGGGACGACGGGGCAATCATATGTTCCGTTTGTGCCTCACAGTGCAATCGCGTTTGGTCTGTAGATGTGTTAGGCAACGTGTTGGTGTGGCGTGTCTTGTTTGAGGATACAAATGACGGTAAACGTATGTGGAAGATGTCAGTCAGGCACCGGCTTAAATGTAACGGTGCTACAAGCGTAGAGGCGCGTGGGGGTCGCGTGTTAGTGAGGTGTGCCAACTTACCGGTGGTCTATTTATTTGATGCCTCAAACTATCAGCTGATGCACGAAGTAGCGCTTCATCAAAGGCCCTATGTACCGGCGCTAACACTGTTACCAGATGGAGAGGCTATTGTGGCAGGGACGAAAGACGGTAAACTGTTATCATGGGAGTGCGCCTCTGGAAAACTTTGCACTCCAATCGAGGGTTACGGAAAGGTTCAAGTAAACTTTTTGATTAGAAGCATTGTGTGGTCGGGTGACCAGCAATTGTGTCTCATCCTCGGCACCGAAGGTGGCGTTGGGTACGTTAATAGTGACGCAAACACACACATGACATTTGTTGCTATCGTCGGAACACCACGAACAACGGAGAGCGTCATCCTTTGTAATGATGCTCATGCTTCGGACTACTTCTGTTCCCGCTTTGGTGGTGAGTTGACAGCCCAGCAAGGGAGTCGAAAGTTTGCAAGGGAGAACTCTGTCGCTGCTTCTGTGACAACAGGAGAGACCAGACGATTTTCACATGTCAGCTTGGCACCGGATGAGAATGTGTCAGGGAAGAAATTAACTCGCATGGGTCAAATTATCGCTCTATGGAAGGGCATTGTTGGCCAACATCGTCATCTTAAGCAGAGGGATGTGGATGAGGTTCAGCCGCATCCGGCGGAGGTGTACATTGTGGATGATAGTTGAGGGAGGTTGTTACAACTGAGGCAGTGTTTATTACATTACTGTGTATGCCTACCGCATAGAGTTTATTGGGTGTCTGTGTTGGTGTGTGTGTTTTTGTTTTTGTTTTTGACTTGGGGGGACACTCGAGTTTGTTTTGTTCTTAATTAGCGCACACATCTAATGATTTTACTACTTCTCTCAGGGTGCACTAAGCCGCATGCCTTCTATGTGGGGTGTGTGACCTTTCGTGTCACCCGTATCTGTGTTCCTGTTTATCATGCCGTTGAACACCTTTATTGTGTCTTTGCTTTCTTTGCTTATTATTATTGTTCTGTCTGTGTGAAGGATTATTACTACACCGATCAGAATTATTATGTCTCTGGCTTTTGACGAATACGGCCGCCCCTTCCTGCTGGTCAAGGAGCAAGGGCAGAAGGAGCGGGTGACGGGGGTGGAGGCGCAGAAGTCCAACATCCTTGCCGCCATAAGTGTTTCCAACGTCCTGAAGACGAGTCTAGGACCCCGTGGGATGGACAAGATTCTAGTGACGCAGGACAACGACGTTGTCGTCACCAACGATGGCGCAACGATTGTGGATCTCATGGACATTGATAATGAAATTGGGCAGCTCATGGTCGAACTCAGCAAGTCGCAAGACTCTGAGATTGGTGATGGCACGACAGGGGTTGTCTGCTTTGCCGGCGCCCTTTTGGAACAGGCTATGGGGTTGCTCGACAAGGGCATTCACAGCTCCCGCATATCCGAGGGGTTTGAGAAGGCCTGCGAAGTGGCATGCAAACGACTTGAGGAGATTGCAGAGACGGTGCCTGTTAGCCGCGAGGAGTACAATTATCTATTCCAGACCGCCCGCTCAACGCTCAACTCAAAGGTTGTGAATCGGGACCGGGACCGGTTGGCAAAGATCTGCGTGGATGCCGTGCTTTCAGTGGCGGACATGGAGCGTCGCGACGTGAATCTGGATTTGATTAAGGTGGAGGGAAAAGTGGGGGGCTGCCTTGAAGACACTTGCTTAGTCAATGGCATTGTGCTTGATAAGGACTTCTCTCACCCTCAGATGCCGAAGAAGTTAAAGAACCCAAAGATTGCCATCTTAACCTGCCCTTTTGAGCCACCAAAGCCCAAGACGAAGCACACGGTTCACATCTCCAGCGCAGAGCATATGACAGAAATACACGCCCAGGAGCAGGAATACTTCCGAAAGCAGGTACGACTTTGTAAGGAGGCCGGGGCCGAACTTGTTATTTGTCAATGGGGTTTTGACGACGAGGCAAACTACCTTCTCTTCCGCAACGATCTCCCTGCAGTGCGCTGGGTTGGTGGTGTAGAATTGGAGATGATTGCCATCGCCACGGGAGGACGCATTATCCCCCGTTTTGAAGACATAAGTGCGGCAAAGCTTGGAACGTGTGGCGTTGTGCGGGAGGTTGGTTTTGGCACTACGAAGGATCGCATGATATTCATTGAAGATTGCCCGAACAGCAGGGCGGTAACTCTTTTAATTCGTGGTGGAAACAAAATGATGATTGAGGAGGCGAAGCGGTCTCTTCACGATGCGTTGTGCATGGTGCGGAACTTGGTTCGTGATAACCGTGTCGTGTACGGTGGAGGTTCAGCGGAAATTGCCGCTTCTTTGGCAGTGTTGAACTACGCAGACACCATCTCCACTGTGGACCAGTACGCCATTCGGAGGTTTGCTGATGCGCTGGAATATATTCCTGTCAACTTAGCTCTCAACAGCGGTCTCGACCCGATTAGGGCCCTTTCAATGGCCCGCATTGCACACGTGGATGGGAAGAATCCGTACGCCGGCGTGGACTGCATGGACTGTGGCACAATTGACATGAAGCAGCAACAGGTGTTTGAAACCCTTCAGGGTAAGTGCTCTCAGCTGCGCCTCGCCACACAGGTGGTGAAGATGATTCTAAAGGTCGATGATGTCATCCTTACGTACCCGGAGGAGGGGCAGTAGTGACCGGGGGGCAAATGCATCTCGGGAGAGGTGGGTAGGCACACAAACAGGAAAGCGAGAAGCAAGGGACGGGCAGAGGCCTGCAGTACAGCGATGGAGGGGGTGTGTTGTGTTAACTTTCATCGGCCTGATTGTTTGGTGGCGCACCAAGGAGAGTGTCAAGCCCCCGTGTACGCTTACGGCCGCAGACCCGTTTTGTTCGTGGACCACGTTGGGGCGGAGAGTCGTCCGTCGCTTCGTAAAAAGAAAAATGGGAAGGAAGAGGAAGGCTTAGAAAAAAAGAAAAAAAACAAATGAAAAAGAAAAAGAAAAGAAAAAAGGAGAATGCGTGAATAAATGAAGAAGGCGAAAGGATACGTTGGGGGCAGCTCCTGCGTGTGTGTTGCTTTGCCGCTTCCCCGTGTGGGCGTCGCATCGCCGCGATTTACTGCTCCACGACGCCCCGGCGCGGGGTGGGGCGGCAGGTGAAGAAGCAAACTAGAAGAGAAGCGGTATTATAATTTTCTTAACTTCAAGCGAGAAGAATAATTGGATGAGAGAGAGAGAAGACCGGGCACACCACGAAAATGTAGTCAACGAGAGAAGACCAAATTTTTTAAAAAAAGAATTATTCTTCGAACGAAGGATTGAGTGGGAAACATATGCGGGAAAAAAAGAGCCGGAAACAAAAAAAAACACGCACACGCACAGGAAAAAAAGAAAGTAAATACAATTTGATGGGGAAAATGAGCTGGCGGGAGACTTTCCTCTTAGCCCATACTTTTTGTTGGTGGCGTAGTTTCTCGTGACATGATGGTTATGATTGGGTCTTGTCGTGATTTTCCTTCAATCTCTGTCTTTTTCTCCTGCGGCTATTACTCTGTAATATACGGAGGGGAACCCTTTGACGCTGCATCTGCCATTTTATGAATCATGCGTCCCTTTTTCCTTTTTGATTTGTATGCAATAAATATTTTCTTTTTTCTACACCTTCATTTTTTCTTACATATAAAAGAGAGGGAAACTAAAAAAAAAACAGAAGGGTGTGAGAGCAGTTAGTGTTGCATGTATCACCGCGGGGGGCACCAGGCATGGACACCACCACCTAATTTTGCCATGGTTGAGGCAGGCATCTATCGCAGCGCCTACCCCACGCTCGCCAGTGTGCCATATCTGAAGTATATTGGTATAAAAACTGTTGTGTTGCTCTCCATTGAACTGCTACCAGGGCCTGTCGCACGTGCCCTTGCAAGCACAGACCACACAACTCGTGCTGCAGGGACTTCGGAGGGGATTTCGACGAGTAAGAGGGAGGCAGACACTGCCGATCCCATTCGTGTTGTCTGCACAGCGGATTTGACGGCGTGGATGAATGAGTACTCATGGTCAAAAGATGACTTTGCCGAGTCTGACGTTTGCCACGCCCTAGATTTTGCCCTTCAAACGGGTTTCCAACCTGTGCTTTTTACGTGCCCTACAGGGGATATTCAAACCAGCGTTGTTATCGGTTGTATGCGGCGACATCAGGGATGGACAGTTGCGGCTGCTATCGCGGAGTGTGAGTTGTTTGTACACCTTTCAACGTGTGTTCGTCCCAGTGTTCTGCGGTTTATTGAGCGCTGGGACCTCAAAGAACAGTCTCTGCAGGAAACCAGTATTGCTAGTAGGAGGCGCGAGCTTTTATTACAGAAGTGTCAGCCGGAACAGTTCTCTCGTACGAGGAGCAAAGGAATACCGCATGTCTCCATCGACTCTGGTTCTGACAATGATGACATTACGGCGAGAAATGGTAACCAAACTTGGAGGAAAGGGAGTCCGCAAAATAGCTCAACGCCTTATCGGGAAAACCACGGGGATGGAGTGTCTTCTTTCAAAGGAAAGGCTGGGGAGGATGCTACGGTTTCCGTATCCGCTTCAGCGGTAACTGAGGCAATGGCGCCGTGGTACACCGCCAGCTTGGCACGAAGAGCTGCTTACGCAGAAGAAATTATTGCAGCCCGAGCGAAAAGGACCTTGAGCTCTAATAAGGACCGATTGCCGGAGCCGCATGAGCGCTACTTTGGTGTGCGAAATCCACCAGCGCTTGATGAGCGTTCGACCTTCACAAAGGAATCGGTCGTTGAAGAGGATGACGAGTGAGGAAGAAAAAGATGTGAGTTTCACTGCTCGTCACATACGGTGCCGTTCCACACGTGTTTCTTGTCTCTGCGCCTTTTAAACCCAAATTTTGCTTTACATCAAAGCTTTCTCCATGTTATGTGCTTTCCACTCTCAATACACGTATGGCTGCGGCTGCGCACCCCCTTCTTTTTTTTTTTTTGTCTCTCTGCCTGTCTATTCCCAGCCGTTTTTTGGCCTATTCCTATCATTCTGGCCTGTGTTTGCCTTCTGCTCTTTCTGGCATCCCCCTTGCTTTGTTATTCTGCATGCATCTCGTCACGTGCTGGCGAACTTTCTCTCATCTTTTTTTTTTTTTTGCGCTATTGGGAGGATTTGTTTGTTTTTCTTTTCCAAGCTGGTGCAAAATAGTCTTTTTTTCCGGCGGAGAAGCATCGCTCGCGGCGAAACCCTTTTTGGCGTGACTAGAAGAAGGCGAAGATGCGAACGAGAAAAACGCGGCCCCCACCGGCGGGTTTTCTTCTCGCCTTACCTCCTCCTGCTGTATCTGACGAGGTACAGGTACAGCAGAAGAGTGAACTCTTCATCAATGTGGATGATACGAACGTCTCACCTGTAGTCACAATGAATGGCCCACTTTTCCCCGCCCGTTTTTTTCACGTGAACAATACGAATCTTTTCGTGTTGATTGATGGTGTGTCGATGTTTACCGAGGGGAAGACGACACAGAAGGAGGAAGCGGCATCACTTCTTATTGGCGATGAGAACGAGGTCACCGCCACAGTCAAAGTAACAAGGAAACTACCCCATCTTATTTCGGCCAATGCATTTGACTCGGTCGAAGCGGCAATTCGCGGCATTGAGGGCGATGGTAACGAGGCGTCTCCGTCTTCCACGGCATCTGCCGTTTTTTCTCCAGTTGCACAGTTTTCGTCTTTGGCTGCAAGTGTGGAAGTGGGTGCTTTTCCAACGTCTGTCGTTTCAGCAGCAGGAGGGAGTGGGAAAGTAGGGAAACAGCCGGGGATACCGCAAATGTATGCATCACTTTTTGAGGGTGCGTCAGTTTCCCCAGCGGCTGGTTTGGGAAGTAAGTTTTGTAATGACGGTATTGTTAAACTCCACGGTTTTGTGCCTGGGGTTACGGTTCCCGCGTGCAGCGTGAAGACGTCGTCGGCTACGTACATACCATCAGACTCTGTCGCGACGACGTTATCAACTGGGGAAATGTCTCTGTCTACAACCCTTTCTGCGGTGACCACGAATGCTGCACACAGTTCAACTGGTAAAAAGCACAGGGGTAAGTTTCACCGTGGCGGTACAAAAGTGCCGAATAGAGGATTTTCTGCAAGTGATATTGGCCGCACAAATCGATCGTTGGTTTTGGAGGCGGTGGTAATGCTTGACTTTATTGGAAAAGGCTCGCAAGGAACCGTGCACCGCGTTATGCTTGATGAGAAGCTTTATGCACTGAAGTGTATTGATGTGAAGGAGGTGACAGAAGCCACCAATGCTGTAGAAAGGCAAGGTAGAAAACAAGGTCTTGTGAAGGAGCTGAACATGATTCGCCTTCAGAGGTCGCGGGAGCCTCCAAAGCATTTGATGCAGGTTTTCAATGCTGTTGCTACTCTTGACAACGAACGACAACAATTATATATATTGATGGAGTTAATGAGTTTTAGTGTAGAAGATGCGCAGAGGATGCTTTCACGTTTCCCCGTTCATGAAATGATGAAAGTGACGCAGTCTACCTTTCGCAATCATCTTGCAGGATCCGCCATGGCTCAGAAGCAAACTGAGAAGCTGTTAAAACAGCGATCTGCCTCGTGTATGCATCTAACGGGGCGAAGTTCTTACAACGTGCCAGAAGATTGGGAGTCTAATATTGATCGTCAGACTCCTGCACCGGAGATTGTCTTGTCCATGCTGGCGGCGGACGTCTTAAAGGGACTTCAGGAATTGCATGATAACTTTTCAATTGTACATTGTGACCTTAAACCCGCAAATGTTCTGCTGGATTTTAATAAAAGGTGTTTCAAGATTGCCGACTTTGGGTGTGGATGCCAGATGGATCTAACTACTCGACAGGTGAGAAGAAGAGGGAATGATTTAGGCTCTAAGCTGTACAAAGCTCCTGAACGTTTGCAGCATGAATTGGCGGGCACCGAAGCTGAAGATGAGATGCCATGGGCTGAGTTTACTTCCGCTGCTGATGTGTGGTCGCTGGGTATCATGTTGTTAGAACTCAGCAATGGTGTGAGCCCTTGCTACTCCTTCAAGTCGGATTACTGGAACTTTGTCAACAATTTGAAGCTGTCTCGCATGGTGAAACCCCTTGCATGGTCCTCCGCATTCCACGACTTCATTGTGCGTTGCCTGATGCAGGACCCTGCGCAGCGTTGGACGGTGCACAAGCTGCAGCAGCACCCTTTTATTCTTAGATATAGCCGGGTTCCCCGGGAAAAACTAAGGTCCTTTATGGAACGTCTAAAGAATGAGTCGGAAACCTTCCAACTTCGCCAGCAGCGCGAGCTTCTTGAGAAGCAGATACTACTGAGCACAGGCAAAAAGGCTCATGACCGGTACCAAAAGCAGAGCCGGACGCGTTGGAAGGCGTTTACCGGATTTCTTAGCGTGGCTCCGCAGTTTGAAGACACAGAGAAGTTTCCATGTCTGAGTTAACTTCACTCCCTCCTCCTCGTCTCTGCAGAGCAAAGAACGACAAAACCGAAGGAAAAAAAAAGAAAAAAAAGAGGTGTCTCTGTATTTCTCCATATTACTTCCTTATTTTTTGTTCCTTTACAAATTTACCACTAGCAATGCTCTTGTGAATGTTGCTGTTGTTTTGCAAACGGGTCCAGGGTGTGTGTGTGTGTGTGTGTGGACTCCTTGCAGAATTTTTTACGGAGTAACAAGTCTCTTATGCGTTTTTTTTTATTATCTCTCGACATACGTGAGGTGTTTTGGACAAAATGCCTTTTTGTTGTTGGCGCTGCCATCATCGCTGCTGAGTTCCCTTCATCGGGTGGGCCTCTTGGTTCTGTGTTAGCCCACGTGTTTCTTCTTATTGTCATCGACGCCGCTAACTCATGTTTTCCTATGTGCTTCTTCTTGTTTGCTTCATTTTTGTTTTACTGGCGCACAGAAAGATAGACACGCACACCAGAGTCACTTTGCTTTTGTCTTTGCGCGCTTGACGTGGTCGGCCGTGGTGAGCGCGGGAGGGTACAAATACGGGCGGGGTGGCTGAAACACAAGATAAGGAAGGTGTGGTGCAGTAATATCAGCTTTCAGAGATGACAGCGCCCAATTCAAGGGGGCCGGTGATGGTTATTGGCACGAGTTCCACAGTAAGGGCAAAGCTTTTGCAAAACTACTTTTCTGACGTCTATCAAGAGTTTCTAAAGCTTTCTCCCGATATTGACGAGAAGGCGTGGCGCTCCCCCGACCCCTTTGAACTTACAAGACTTGTTGCGTGTGCCAAGATGCGGGCCGTTTTGGAGAAGTTAAAGCACACACATCCTCATCTGAAGCACGGTGTGGTGGTGACTTTCGATCAAGTTGTGGTAAAGGATGGTGAGATTCGTGAGAAGCCCGAGTCCGTGGAGGAGGCCAGAGGCTATTTGAAGTCTTACTCGAACAGCAATGTAAGGACGGTGGCTGCGTACGCCGTCTGCTCGCTTGATACAGGTAAAATGAAGGTGGGAGAGCATGAAACAGATACATATTTCTCCGCTTACGATGATGATGTCGTTGAACGTGTGCTCGCGAGAGGAGCGTGCATGCACACGGCTGGTGCATTCGTTGTGGAAGACGAGGACATTAGTCGCTACGTTGTGCGCAACGTGGGGACGCTTGAGGCTGTACAGGGAGTAGACCCTGTGGCGCTTGAACATCTAATGAAAAAGGAATAAACTTTTGTTTCTACTTTTATTATTGTTTGGTGTGTGAGGAGTTTGTCCATCGTTTTTTTTTTTTGCTACTGTTGCTGTTGGAGTGGCTTTCATCTGCCTTTGTGTTACCCTTTTGGAGCTGCGGACCTGCAGGCGGACGATACACACTTGTACCGCAGGTAGGGCATGGAAGGGTTTTTGCGTCGTTTGCAGACTGTGGCTGACGTGGCCGAGGACACCGCGTCCTCTGTGGGCGACATAGAGAAGGAGGAGTTGAATGACATGCCAACAGACACAGATGAACTTCAGCACCGTCTTAGGCAAGCCTTGTCGCGCCTGAAGAGTGCCTCAGCGAGGTGGGAAGAGCTTCATGGTGAGAGCTGCAAACTTGAGACGGAGTTGGCCACGCTACGGCAGCGGTTCACAACGTCACGTGAGGTTTGGCTCTTGGTACATCAGTTTGACCAGACCACAATCGAATCGCTTCTGCAGGAGCGGCGGCACGCGAAGGGCGAGGACCGATCCACGGCCTTAGAAGGTGTAGGGGGTGGTCCATGCCCCAACGATGGCGGCGGCAATCTCCGTTGCGATCCAACATACGTGAGCTCTCTGCAGGAGCAGAGTGCAACACTGAAGGAACTTCTTCGCAAGTACGCCGAGGAGCGGGACAAGTATAAACTTGAGGTAGATAAGCTGCGTTCTGCAAAGAATGGTCAGACAGTTTGCTATGGAGATGGATCAGGTAACGCTTCTGCCAGGAAGTTTGCGTCTTCCTCGATGCAAGACCGTACCCTGCAGGATCACGTTGACCAGCTTGAGGCGGAGTTGCGTCGTCAAGCGGAAGCCATGTCAGAAATGGTGACGCCGGGGCGTCTCCACAGGAATGCGTGGAACAACACAAAATACAAGAGTGATGTGCAGCTTCGGCGGATACACCTCCTGGAACGGGAGCTTGCAGCCTTGCGACAAGAAACAGATGGAGATGGCGGCGACGCAAAGACTGGTGTTGTTGATTCTCCCAAAAGTGTGGGACATGAAGGGACGGAGACGTCGTGTGAGTCGGCTGTGCCACCTGGACGGAAGAAGACAGATGTGGATGAGAAGGATGTTGCCGGTTTGAATCCAGCAACTGACGCTGTTAAGGACCTCCTCAGGCGGTTGGAGGGGACCCAGGCTGAGAATCTTGCGCGGGAAGAGGCGCTGAACGCGATGTACCAAGATGTTCATTCTCTTCGCGAGCGCAATGCTCAGTTGGACCAACAGCTTGTTGTTGTAGACGAGCAGTTGGATCAAATGGGGCGGGAAATGGTGTTCGCGCAGGATCAGTATAAGATTGAACAAGATCGTAATAGGGAGTTGCTGGAGCAACTGGAGATCACGCAGCAGCAACTGCAAAAACGGGGAAGAGAGCTGGCGAACGCTAATGAAGAGATAAGGAGATTGCGCTTACAAACAACTAGTTCCACGACTGCGACTCGGATAGTTCACGCCTTTCCGAGTACGGAAGCATTGCTGAAAGGTCCAGCCCATACGGCTCTTGGAGGCGGAAGTTGGGGTAGTAGTGTCGATGACAATGTGCGTGCTGGGAAGCAAGTGGGTGCCGCTGCTGGTCTGCCACTTCAGGACGTTGGGAGAGCGCCGTGGGGCGTCGTCAAGACTAGCAGCGGATGGTTTAATCGTCACTACACATTTTTTGGCCTCTTGCGAGAGATTGGGCGGCGTCGGTTGATTATAGTCCTTTTCGTGATTTTAGTTATGATCATGACGGCGCTTATGCAGTCAAGTCTAGGAACATTCGAGCCGGATGCCACTTTGTCGAAATTACGGGATGACCTCCTTACGTGTCAATCACAGCTTAGGGTGAAATTCCCTCCGCAGGACAAAGGTGTGGGCTGAGTTTAGTAGTTACGATGCCGTAAAGTTGGAGGAGGAGAATTTGGAGTTGCAGAAGGCAAAAAAGGGTTTGTGGGACATGCGTTGCAGAGGTGGTGGCGTGCGTCTGTGGGTGTGAATTTGACTGTGTGCGCAGGAAGTGTGAGACTGGCTTCCCGGAATAGTTTCTTCTTCTTGATACAGTTCATTGGCATCAGATTGCCATATATACATAAATGTGTTTATTGCGTTTATTAGTATTTGCTGCTAGTTGTGTATATTATTATTATTATTATTATTATTTGGGTACTTTTTGGTGTTGCCACGACTTTTCTGCAGTTTTTTTTTCTTCTTTTTATCTTGACATTGCTGACGTCTTTATTACCCTTCTCCCTTGCGCGTTGTGTGTCCTTCGCTAGGTTACTGGCTTGGCTGGTGACTGTAGAGCTCGTCTACTGCTTATAATATATATATATATATATATATATATATATTTGGTGTCTCATACATTTGTATTGTATTTGCAGTGCAGCAGCGAGAGCAGGGCCGCAATTACCCTTGAATATATCGTCCTCACTGCTATTGTTGCCGTTGTTGCTAGCAGTGTTATTATTCCCATTGTTATTCCTGGCAATTGTACTGGAGAAGAGGGCAGGCGAGTTCAGTCACGTGTTGGAAATGGTGTTGGTGCTCGTTGTTGGTGACCTGCACGTACCGCAGCGTGCTGCAGCGATACCGGAGGCTTTCACACACATGCTAACCCCAGGGCGCATCAAAGTGGTGTTGATAACGGGCAACGTCGGCTGTCGTGAGATGCATAACTATTTCCGCACCATCGCACCAGAGGTGTACTGTGCCAAAGGGGAGTTTGACCGATGGAGCTACCCTCAGTTGAAGGAGACACACCTGATAACAGTGGAGGATTTAAAGATTGGCCTCATCCACGGACATCAGGTGGTGCCTTGTGGTGACAGGGATTCCTTAGCGATGTTGCAGCGCAAGATGGATGTGGACATTCTTGTTTCGGGCGCCACCCATCACTGCAAAACCTTCGAGTTTGACGGTCACCTCTTCGTCAATCCCGGCTCCATTACAGGGGCCTTTACCCCTGCACAGCCCGATGTGGCTCCCGCCTTTGTCTTACTGGACATCAAAGGGAAAACGGTGACCTCCTTTGCTTACGTGTATAAACCGCGGGGGGGCATCAGTGGCGAGGATTTTACTATCAAGCGGAAGGTATGGACGAAGGAGTAGAGAGAACTGTTGCCTGCAATGATGTGCGCAAAGTAAAGCTGAGGAAAGGGGCGAGACCGATGATGGTGCCCAAAAGCTTGGGTTGCACTGTTGCTTCCGCAGGTTTCTCATACTCTCATTCCAAATGCCCTTCAATAACCGTGTTTTTTTTTACTTGATTTTTTTCTTATACTTTCTCTCCTTTGCTGGCGTGCGCCACACACACACACACACACACACACCGCAGTTTGTCTTGAGGGCTGAGCCACCGCCCTGCCGCAGGGCAAGGAGAAAACAACACAAAGGGAATCAGAGGCACACATCCCCAACACAAGCAGAAACAAACAAAAGAAACAACTACAAAAAGTTGGGAAGCCAGGCAGCGTCACTGACGCGTTCGCATTTTTTGCTCTTAGTCACTTCAGTACCTCTCTTGCTCTCTGTGAGCGGATTTCAATCGTCACTTCGTCGCAACCTTGCACAGCAATGACTGAGGTGTCGTACAGCTACTCACGGCCCCGCAGGGAGTTTGGGCGGATGCCGGAGTTTCATGCCAACGAGGGTGAGATTCTCAGCGACGTTCCGCCGAACCGCACGGTGAAGAATTATTACACCAAACTCGACCCCTGCGAGACAGAGATTCAAAACGTGCCGTCGTTGTCAGAGACAAGCACCAACACGGAGCGCATTAAACTACGCCACCGCGCACAGTCCCACCTTGAGGGCGGATGGCCACACGGCGTCGATCCCACTGAGTTTGAAGAAAAGATGAAGTACTGCAGAAAGGTGGAACGCGAGGAGAGCTATCTGTCATCGTGCCGCCGCCTCTTTCAGCAATGCACGGACAAGTACATTAAGCAGAACAATGCTATTGACATTTATGGTTCCTACTTTGCGGAGGGTGCACCTCCAGAGGATGAGTCGATGGGGCCTGCCTCTGCAAAGATTATCTCCATCTTTAAAGATCCCAATGAGGAGAAGCGGACAGCCGCGGCGATTTCGTGGCAAAACGACGGCCGAAGATTTGCAGTGGCCTATTGTCGTCTGCGCTTTCAAAGCAACACCCCAACAACGAACACAAACTCGTACCTTTGGGATTTCATGAATCCGAACACGCCGGTTGAGACGCTGGTGACCCCTTCGCCGCTGTGCAGTATTGAGCACTACTCGAAGGATCCACATATCATTGCTGGTGGGAGTTGGAACGGCGTTGTACAGTACTGGGATACGCGCCAGCCGACACGCCCCGCCGCCCGCTCTCTTATTGAAGAGAGTCATAAGGATCCTGTATGGTCCATCAAATGGTTACAGAGTAAATCAGGTGAACTACTCTCAGTCTCTACAGATGGCGAGGTTTACGTTTGGGACTGCCGAATTCCTGACAAACCACTTGAGTTGCGCAAACTCCCAGATGACTCTTTAACGCTTCTACCTAAAAACAACGAGGGGGGATCGAAGGGCGTATTGGGTGGGCTTTGTCTGGACTACGACCCTCAAGTGGGTGGCCCTTCGAAGTACATGATTGGCACGGAACAGGGCACGATTCTTTCCTGTAACCGCAAAGGTAAGACACAGGCGGACAAGCTTGGCCTCAATACGTTTAATGCACATCACGGTCCGGTCTACTCCGTACAACGCCATCCGTACTTTTCCAAGTACTTTCTTTCTGTGGGGGACTGGACAGCGCGGATGTGGTTTGAGGACTTTAAGGTTACGCCGTTGTTTAGCACCTTTTATCACAAGTCATACATTACCAGTGGCGCCTGGCATCCTGTGCGCCCTGGTGTATTCTTCACGACTCGCATGGACGGCTTTCTGGATCTCTGGGATTTGGTGCTGCGCCAGTCCACACCTGCCCTCAGCGTTCAGATCTCCGACTACGCTTTGCACACGGCGAAACCCACCGCTGAGGGAAAATACATTGCCGCCGGCGGCATTGACGGCAATGTGACCCTTCTGGAGCTTTCGCCCTCGCTCTACACCGCCATGGCGGACGAAAAGAATGTCATTGGTCAAATACTTGAAAACGAAAGCATCCGTGACAAGAACCTAGACCGTGCACTGAAGGAGAAGCGCGCGGTGGCGAAGCAACGGGAGCGTCGCAGCACGCAAATACAAAGCGTCGCAAGAGAGGCGCATGAGTTGGAGCAAATGCTGGAGACGATGACGGAGGAATACAAAGCTGTTGTAATTGAAGACAAAAACCGCGATCTGCAGTTACACGAAGAGTTGGAAGCTCAGCGGCGCAGACTACTGGAAGAGATTGGGGAAGGAATTGAGTTTGATGAGGAGGAGTAGGAGGAGGAAGAGGAGGAGGAGGAGGGGGCAAGGTTCTGCCCCTGTGCCTCCAGTTATGTGAAAGACCACCACCAACCACATACATATTCTCACCACCTGCTTGGCTGCATTCTTGGGTTGCGCAAGTTAACTGTTTGCTCCCTTTTCCACCAAAAACAGGAGGAATGCGAGGAAAGGAAAAAAAAAAAACGATTTGAGCCTTGGTGTTCTTCGTTTATTTATAAGAAGAAAAGGTGAGTATAGTATGGGAAAAGGGAAAGAAATGTGCGGTGGAGAGGCCGCAAAGTGCAACTGTAGCTACCCATCTATCCATATGTAATATATATATGAGAGAGAGAGAGGGAAGCAAAATAGAAACGAATGTAATTGCGACATCTTGCATAAAGGTGAAAAGTGTTGGTGCCGTTGTTTTTTTTTCTCGTGCACTTTGCATGCCATGTATGAACTCTGCTACAACTGTTACCTGGCGGATACAGCCCCACGTCACTCAGTAAGTTTTTGTTTTGTTTTTGTTTTCTGCCTTTGTGAGTGACCTGCCCTTTATCGTTCTCTCTCACGTGTTTTTTGTTTTTTTTCTGATCCCTTCCTTACAGTGCCGTCCGCGAAACAAGCGGCAAAAGAAACGGTCGTGGTAAGCACAGCAACAACAAAAGCACACAGGTGGCAATCGTACCCAGGCGCGTACAACGTGTATACGAGAGCTAGATGCCGCCAAAGAAGAGCCTTCCAAATCTCAACCACTTCATGGAGAAGCGGGTGATGGTAAAGCTTCACGGCGGCCGTTCCATCTCGGGCGAGTTGCGGGGTGTTGACCATTTTATGAGCGTTGTCCTCTTTAACGCCACAGATGAAAGTAACTCACCCAACAATGAAAAGAACGGGGAGAAGATGTCTCTCGGCACAACAGTTATCCGCGGAAGCATCATTGTAGACATTGTGGGGTTGGAGGCTTAACGACTAGAAGTGCAATACGTACTAATGGAGAGGGAGAAAGTGGCCCACACAGAGATACAGCGAAGAAGCAACAATAGCAAAGAGAGAGAGAGAGAGAGAGAGAGATAGCGGAGTTTTACATGCATCTAGAGATGCTGTGGTACGACATACCATGACAGCCATGACATGAAGAGTGCTATGGTGGACTCCGTACTGAATCCCACTCTTCCCTGTTCTATGATGTGGTGTGCCTGCAATAAACTAAAGCGAGAGAGGGAGGCTGAGGTGAAGCCACGGATAATGTTGTTGGTAAGTCGTTGTTGTTTCATTATTTATTCTGAGTACCATTTTCGAAAATTTTGCTTGTGACGCTTTGGGATTTTCTTCTGTTTCTTGGAATTTTTTTTTTATTATTTTATTTTTCCCTCCTCCCCAGGTGTGTTTTGTTCTGCATGTCGGTGCGCACTTCCCTTCCCATGCTTGGGGCTGGCACCACAGACACCGTGACTCACACCAGTAAGGCTCTTGCGTGCAACAAGGCATTATTGTTATTACCAGCGACTGCGGCGTTGTAAGGTGTCGCAAGTGGCGTCAACAGAATGACAGGCCTTGACACTGCGTGGATCCCCTTTGCGGTGATGTATCTTTTGTACTAAATCCTTCAGACGATGATGGGGGTATATTCCTACTACAGTCGTGGGGGCTTGGTGAGCATTGAAGACATCAAATATGACGACACCTTTTATGTGTCATCATCAGTGGCTAAATGACAAGGACATATATTTTAAAAGGTATTGTGATCGACCCAAAAGTGAGGCAGGGAAGGCATTCTTTTTCCCCGACAGCGTGTGCCACCATCATTTACACTTTTGCAGCTTCTGCTGAATTTTTCCTCGCCTGCTCGCGACGAATCTTGCGCATAATCCGGTAATGCCAATTGTTATCAAAACTATTCGCCTTGGGAGTGGCATACTCCTCGCGAGCACGCGCCCCACCGCCTACACCCCACGCAGGCATCCGCATCCCACAGCTATCATCGTCTCGAAACCACTGTTGTTTTTTTCTTTGGCCAAATGAAGATTTAAAAAAAAACCCGTAAATGTACCGTTTAAAGATGGAAACTTCGCCATCACGACGAGCATGGTTTCTTCGCTGCACGTAAATCGAATGATCGTATGACTCTGCACTCCAATCAAGCCAAGAGAAAAACACACAAGAGACAGAGATGATAGTACAAAACTTTGGTGTATAACTTGTATTTATAGTATTAGCGCGAGTTGTAGGAACGTGCAAGTGGGTAGGTAAGTGAATTCGGGATTTTGTTTACCTCCTTTGGTGGTCTTAAAAAGGGTGTTGTGGGGCGGTGTAGCAGAATAGAAGTTTATGTGTAGAAGCAAAATGATCTCGTTCCACTCTTTTCCCTTTTTTTTTTTTGTCAGTGCGTGTAGATCATGGCGTGGCGTGAACTGCGCTCGTGTCTTTGCATAGTGTGTGGGATGTGTTTTGTATTCCTTTTCTCATTGGTGTCCTGCAATGCCGTTTCTTGCATCGGCATCTCTCCTCTGTTGTTGTTCGTTGTCCTTGCTGTTTTGGTGCCACACGCAACGTTGGCTGGTGGGCTGCGTTCCCTGCCTGTCGCGTGCCGTCGTCGCAACTATATGTTCTTTCATCTTTTTCTTTACTTTCTCCTTTCTCTCTTGCCTAATCAAACGCACCACCGATCACCGGTGACTCTGCTTCCACCGTGGCAAGAAATCTGGTGGTGTTCACGCTGCGTATTGGGGTTGCGGTGAGGGCCTGAGTGGAGTCACGTGGGAAAAATTAAATAAGAAGCGGTCCAGATATCAACAAACAGAAACAAAAACAGCGGGTAACGGGGAGAGAACAGTCTGGGATATCAGAAAAGAAATCAAAAGGAAAGAAGGTAAAAAAAAAAACAGGAGAGAGGGGGAGGCGGAGAAAAAAGGATAAAACGGAACGCGAAGGAGGAAATTGAAAGAGACTAGAAACAATTTTTTTTTCTCCCTTTTGAAAAAGGGAAAGCAAACAAGGAAATCGTTTAGCGAGGAGGGGGACAGGGGCCACAGCTGCACCCCGCACATAACAGTGTGAGGCTTGAAGATTGTGAAGGGTCAGCAATGGAGGGGTTTTTCAATCGAATTCTTATGGACGCGGAGGGCGGTGTTGCGCAGCGCAAGGTGATGAAGGAAGTTGTGGTCACGCGTGAAAATATCACTAGCGTAGATGAAGAACGTCAGATGGTGGGGCTGATGAATCTATGCAATCTACTAAACATGGCGACTTCCGTAACCATATCATCAATACGTCCGAGCGTTTTTGTTCCGCATGTATTAGAATGTTTAAAGAAGGAGCACAATGTGGACTTGATGCTATTAGCCGCACGTGTATTGACGTATATGGTAGACGCCATACCTTCTACTGTTTACGTACTCGGGTCAGAAAACGGTATGGAGGCCGTTTTGCAACATCTGCTGGAGGTGAAAGATATTGAGCTCTCGGAGCAGTGTATGACGTGTTTGGAAAAAATTACGCAGAGCGCGAATGGCGCTTTGACGGGATTACAAAAGGGAGGGGTGAAGGCACTTTTAGCGTTTGTGGATTTTTTTAGCTCCTCCTCGCAGCGTAAGGCCTGGGCCAGTGTTGCGGCTATGTGCCGGCGTGTGGATGCGACAACGTTTGACCGTGTTCACGACTCTCTGAATGAGATACGTGCGCGTGTCAATCATGAGGATGGAAAGATTGGGGATAAAGCAATCGCCTGCCTTTATCGTATTATTACGGGTGTCCGCACAAACCCGGAGCTTGTGGCACGGGCATATGGTGACGTCAGTCCTGCGCTTCTTTGCGTGCTTGCGCGCAGCGATGTTACAGAGAGCACCTTTACGATGACGCTCTCACTTATTGGCGCAGCGATCACATACAGTGCGGAGGTTACACGGAAAGTGACCGAGAGCGGCTTGATGGAGTGCATGTTGGCGCTAATTACCCATTACTCTGAACAACAAATACCACAGCTGCAACAGCAGCAGCGTAGTTCGTTTCCACAGGATGTATCGACGCAGATGTCCTCGACGCCGGCACCAACATCTTTGACGACAACGTTTCGTGAGAGGCGATTAACGATGGAGCAGACAAAAATACTTTGCATTGCGCTTGCTGGACTTCTGCCAAGAATTACGGAGGGTTACCTTGCCTATGGAAATATACTTACAGAACTGCTCGCGGAACGTAATCAGGGGATAATGAATAGTAGAGGATACTTTTCCACAGACACGGACTATGATGATGAAGAAGACGAAGAGGATGGTGAGGGAAACAACATTGAAGAGACTCGTATGCGGATTCTGGAAGAGGAAATTCCACTTGAAAGGAATCCCAACTTTTCAAGGTGCAATATCTCACATGTATGCAACGGCTGCGGGAAGTTGTGCATGCCTGGTGACTGGTTTCGCTGTAACAAATGCTCAGACTTTGACTACTGTGGACAATGTCTTTTGGAAAGTTGGGCCGAACACACAGGGAATTCGGCGCAGCATACATTCTGTGATATGCTGGAGGTAATTTCGGGATTAAGCAAGCTAACGATGCCTGCGACGGTCAAAAAATCCCTGGACGACGCGCTGAATATGGAGCGGAGGGACCTCTACAGAAATTCCCCTCAACTACTGGAGAGCATACTCAGAGGGCTTCCAAAGATGGTGATGCTGTTTAACGAGTCAGAAACGCAGATTGTGCGTAACCACAGTCTTGCCTTTATTGACCGCGCTGTGTGTCTGGCATCCCCGCAGCAGTTGATGAATAGTGGTCTTAACGAGGCAGCCGTGTGTCAATTAATCGTCTCGGCAATTGGAGACCCCAGTCTTATTTTAAACGCCCAGGTGATGCTACTCTGCCGTACATTGCTGGAAAAGCTTCCGGCTGTGTATAAAAAGGCTTTTGTCCGTGAAGGTGTGACCAGTGCCTTGCTAAAAGCACGAGGACAGAATCAAACGACCACGCGACGTGCTTCCGAGCGGCAAGAGGAGAAACGCCCGCTCGTTGAACGACTTTGCACTATTGCAGATTGGCGCGAGCTTGTTGCGGAGGAGGCGAACAGTATGCTTGGTATGTTTTCTTCGATTAGTGACGAAACACACATCAAGCGGCTTGCCGAGTTTGTAAGTCTTATGGAGGAAGGTCAACTTCAGGAGGCCTTTGACACCCTCCGAGTTGCTCTCTTGAATGAAACTACTTCATTTGAGCTGGCGTCGAGCAATGTTCTTCACGCACTTAGGGAAACTCTAACGCGTGTGAATGATGTCCGTGTCATTGTGGACCTAGTAAAGACACTAGCAAAGGGGGAACGAAATTCACCATGTGCGCTTACACGATTTGTGCGACACCTTCAAACTATTTTTTCGCAATTGGATCAGTTTCGACCCTCCAGTTTTGGTGGGGTAAACAGCATTCATGCACATATCCCTGTGCATCTGGTTTCGCATGCAGCTGAACAGCAGAAGCCGAAGCCTTCTCTATTAGCAAAAAGTGGCGCACTGCGACGTTCTCCTCCGGCCACTTCTTCAAAGGAATCCAGTGGGCCACCGCGTAGCACGCGTGTTTTCACAACACGCGGGAACAACACCACGAGTCATGCTTCCACCTTGACAGGTTTCACATCAACTTCGACAAGAGGCGTTTCTGAGGGTCGAGAGCTCACGGTAAGCCTTGAACCTTTAACAAGCATGGATACATTGATGTCGTTTGTGGCCTCAAATGTGCTTCCTGGAGGTGCAGAGGAGAACGGTGGTCGTCGCCGCATAGATGACGAGGAACACGTCGAAGATGTGCTTCCTGAGTTGCGTAAAGGAGAACCGACTGATCTTTCTCTGACGGGGAAGAAATTGATGCAGGAAAAACCCGAACAACGTGTCTACCTGCGGTATGAATCGCATGTATTGCCGCCTTCTATGACCATTCTGCAGGTATTACAACAGTTTCACTCCTTCTCATCTTCGTCCGGGGGGTCATCGTACCGGAAGCGGAAAAAGAAGAGTGGTCAAGGCAGTGGTACCGCTTCTAATAATAATAACGTTACTGGTACTACCGCTGCCAATGCCACAATTGCAACCACCACTACTTCTACTAGTGGCGGTGGTGGTAGAGTCCGTCAACGTAATTCCATGGGAGAAGGATTGCGTCGTAGTGGGGGGGAAATTATCACTCTACACTACAGCACAGTTCCTTTTGGACCGGAGTACACCATGGAAAAGCCGCGATCTGCTGCGACTTGCGTTGCACCAACCGACGCCACTTCTGTGAAATTGCCCTCCAAAGGTGTTCGTTCTCCCGCAGTGGCTGAGGTGCTACGTGCGCTGCATCAGGAATACCCATTTAGCAACTGTTTTCTCACAGCTGCACAAAAAGATGTTCTGACGCTTTTGGGTACCATTTACAAGACATTGCAGTGCTGGGGCGAACTTCTACTTCACCTGGGTTATACTACACAGGGTGATGTGGAGGGGGATGTCTGGTCACCCTCAACTCCGCTCGGAGAGTTTATTCACCAAAGACTGAACAACAAGGCCATGCGGCACAGCTCCAATCTTTTGCTTGCAGGTCAACACCTCGCAACGTGGGCGGTCAACCTCGCGATGGACTGTAACTTTTTGTTTACCGCTGCGACACGAAAGTTTCTTTTTGAGATTGGCTTCTGCGGCACAGCTCGTTCTCTTGTTCAGATGCAGGAAAATATGGAAAAGTACGGCACGCGAGATTTACTTAACGTGGATCATCACCTTATACGATCCTATCGTCTGCACCGAATGAAGAAGCGTGTCTGGCGCGACAAGGCACTGTTGTGTGCTATGGAAATTTTGGGAAAGAAACAGATCAATGACACTGTCTTGCTCGAGTTTGAGTACTATAACGAAAATGGAAGTGGTAGCGGACCAACAATGGAATTTTACTCGCTTGTCTCGGACGAACTCCGGGAGATGAAACTTCGCTTATGGCGCCGGACCGACGAAACACCGGATGAAAAGTATTACCACCCGAAGACGGGGGTGTATCCGCGTCCGCTGCCACCCGATTCACCTGAGATTGACCGTGTGGAGCCGTTATTCCTGTTTCTAGGCCGCTTTTTGGCCCGTGCTTTGTTGGATAAGCGCATCGTCTCCCTTCCTCTCTCGCCGGCCTTGTTAAAGATATTGCGTGGCGATGAATGTGGTATCTATGACCTGATCGATATCAGTGAGTCTCTGGGTTCATCCATCGTGACTCTCTCCCTTGCCGCTCACAACGGCGCCACGAGCATTCAACTGCCAGGAGCGTCAACATCCTGCAGCGTAGAAGACTTGTTGCTTGACTTTACGTTACCCGGTGACGATGCCATTGAGTTGGTAAAAGGTGGGGCCAATAAGCCGGTGACCTCCGCGAACTTGTTTGAGTACTGCGATGCCGTCACAGAGTTTATCTTGCACAAAGGAGTGGAACGTGTCATGAAGGCGTTTCGTACCGGCTTTCACGACTACATTCCATTGTGTGCGTTGCGTTTGCTTACCGTGGCTGAGCTGCACGAAGCGCTGCACGGCCACGCTGCTCTCGTAACGATAGAAGACCTCGAAGCAAACTGTCAGGCGGATCACGGCTACACCATGACATGCAGTCATGTGCGGCAGTTGTTTGAAATTATTGCTTCCTTTAATGAGGAGGAGCAGCGTCGCTTCTTCCTCTTTCTCACGGGTTCCGTGCATCTCCCGGTGGGCGGCCTTGCTAGTCTGCGGCCAAAGTTTACAATTGTCCGCAAGACATCCTCGGAACCTAAAGTTCGCGAGCAGGATCAGCTTCCCTCCGCGATGACGTGTCAAAACTACCTGAAGCTGCCAGCGTATGATAGTAAAGAGCAGATGGAAAAAAAATTGCGGCAAGCGATTGATGAGGGAGGTGGGGCGTTTCTGCTTACGTAAGCCGGGTACAACGGAAGCGCCACTGCGCTTCTCCTTCATTTCCAACGCAGGATAGGGACAAAGGTAAGGAAGGGAAAGGAAAGGGAGATGAGAAGAGGAAGGAGAACAGAAATTGTAAAAAGAAAAAAAAAGTACGTATGCGTAAGATGCATCTGATGAAGACATATTTCCCTCCCCCCCCCCACCCCTTTTTTTTTTTTGTTATTTCCTCCTTATGAAGCGGCTTTTACATGCTATCTCTTTATAATTTGCTTGGGTACGTCGACGGCCCGTGTTATGTGGCTTGTGTAGAAGAGCGTGCTTAAAAATGTGGAGAAACACCATTCTAGTTGTGAGTAAAGGAGAGAGAGGTTTTAGTCGGGCCTGAATATGTGAAGCTGTTTTTTTTTTTTCTTTATCGTTTGAGTTTGATGCATCTTATATAAATTGCATCACTCAACGGTGTGGTTCATGCATTTGAATATTGACCACCGCAAATTTACGCATATGTGTGTATGTGCGAAGTACACCCCGTCTTCAGAACATTTTTGAGGGTAAATTTCCTTCTCGCCTTTTTAGCTACAGTTTTCATGGATGTGTTTGTGCCTGAGTTGAACGGGGTGTGCGGTGTGGCTGTGGTGGGGCAGAGAGAGAGAGAGAGGAGAGGAGAGGAGGAGGATGCCAAAGTGAGTGATGTATCTGTTGTACTTTAATTTTATTGTTTGTGTTTTTTTTCTTTTTTTGACGGGTAAGTGCGAGCGGAAAAGAAATGGAGTCCATCTTAGACACTAGTAGGCCCGTGGATGTACAGGAGTTTGACCGGGTGGTGCAGTACCTCTCGACCGGGTCACCGCAGGAAATTATGAAAGCGCAGGAAGTTATCACCGCCTTCAAGGATAGGCCTGACGCCTTTATTCAGGTTGGGACGCTACTGACAAAGTCACAGAACTCAACAACACGCTTTTTTGCCTTACAGGTCCTGGATGACACCATCCTGCATCAGTGGAACGCCTTTACAAATGAGCAGAAGGAGGAGATTCGGAGCTTTGTAATAAATTTAATCGTTGCTGAATGCAAGAGTTTTAGCCAGATTCGTAGTCGCAAGGCACTCCTCACCAAGATAAACAGCACATTGGTCAGCATTGCGAAACGAGAGTGGCCGGTGCGATGGCCCAGCTTTATTCAAGACATTTGTACTAGCGCTGGCCCAACTGAGCCGCTCATAGAAAATAATTTAAACTTACTGCGCCTCGTTGGGGAGGATATCTTTGAATTTGGTGAAAAGACACTGACGTCACGATGGATCAAACGAAAGAAGGAGGCTTTGAAAAGTGATTTTCGCCTTATTTTTCGGCTGTGTCTATCGGTGCTTGGAACGGGAGATCAGGCACTTTTGAAGACAGATTTGGAGTGTATGGAAAAATATTTGGCGTGGATGGAACCGACACTTGTATTTACTGAGGATGTTATCATGTACATTGCCAGCCTAGTTGCTGGGGATGCCACCGTGGCCCCCGTAGCCGTGCGCTGCCTTTCTGTGATTTGTTCTATAGACACGGATGATGGGGCGGCGGGGGACACGCAGGCGCAGATAACGGTTCGTGTATTTCGCACCGCGTTTAATATTATCATAAACGCTCTTCCAACCTCTCATTCGTCTGTGGAGGGTCGAGTAATTCACATGTATGAAATGGGGTCGGATATGGACTGCAGGTTTATAAGCGAGGTGAATATCCTCCTAATTGCCTTTTTAAAGCGGTATTCGAAATTAATCCTATATGATGACATTCTGTTACTCTCCACGCATCAAATGCTAGTGGGAATGAGCCACATTGATAACAAGGAACTTTTCAAGTCTTGTATAGAGTACTGGTGGTGGCTTGGAGAAAGACTGTTACGGGCTCCATCACCCACGCCACTGCATAAAAAACTCTCCGGTGTTCTTAGTAACGTGCGATTTTTGCTCATTAAGAGGATGGCCAAACCGGAGGAAGTCATTATTGTGGAAGAAGAAGGTGAGCTGCGTCGTGAACACATGACAGATGTGGAGGGGCTGCAGCTGTACAACCTAATGCGGGAGGCTTTAGTGTTTCTCACAAATCTTGACCCCCACGACACGCAGCAGATCATGACGGGGCTGATGCAAAAACAACTGGATCGCAGTGAGTGGAGCTGGCACAACTGCAGCACATTGTCTTGGGCGGTGGGGGCAATCTCAATGGCTCTACCAGCCGAACAAGAAGTCGCGCTTTTTGTGGTGATTGTTCGTGGGTTGCTTGATCTTTGCAAAGAAATGCAAGGGAAGGAAAATCGTGCGGTCATCGCTAGTAATATTATGTTTGTCGTAGGACGCTACCCACGTTTCCTTCGCAGTCATCACGTCTTTTTGAGCACAGTTGTTCGCAAAATTATTGAATTTATGAAGGAGCTGTTTCCTGGGGTGCAGGAAATGGCGGTCGATACGCTCCTCAAGATAGCCTCGCAGGTGCCGGATCAGTTTGTCTTCTTGGACAACCGAAAAGAATCTATAGCAATCGAAATTGCGGAGCGATGGACCGATGTCACCTCATTGCTAGAACCACAGCAGATACAGACCTGCTTTGCCGCAGCTGGATATATGATCAAAAGTGACTCCCCTGATAGGCAAGCGGCTCTTTTGGAGCTATTCCTACGTGATGTTAACATTAATTTTAAAGCCATAACGGAAAGAGCGGCGGCTGATAGTGCGTTATTTTGCCGTGATTCTACAAGTATGATGGAACTGATTCATTTGTTACGCGTATATAGCAGCATTGCCTCCACATGTGGCACAGCATTTATCAATGAAATGGGAATCATCATTTGGGACCTCCACGGCTTCTACCGTACGTTCTTCGCCGCACAGAACGCATTGATCGCCGAAGGTGGACCTGCTTCTATGCTGCATCAAGATGCACGGTATTTGAGACTGGCAAAGAAGGAAATACTTCGTATTTTTGAGCGTTTTGTAGATAACACCGAAGAACGTGACTTCGTAGCGGCGAATTGTATGCCAAGCATCTTGACCGTGGTGTTGGAGGACTACCGTGCCTCGGTGCCTGAGGCAAAGGAGCCCGGGGCGCTGGCGCTGGTGACTGCGTGTGTGAATAAATTGACCGATCGTCTCAGTGGGGATTGTGCGGCTATTCTTGATCATACGTTTGACACCACAGTGGCAATGATATGCAGAAACACAGAAGATTTCCCTGAGTTTCGTGTGAATCTTTTTAAGCTCCTTCAGGCATTGAATAAACACTGCTTTGATGCTTTTTTGAGCTACGCCTCAACAAAGGAGGATGTCATTACGGGCATGCTATGGGTGATTAAACACACAGATTTTGCGACCATGGAGACTGGGCTCCTCGCCTTGGATGCCTTCCTTGAGAATGTTGCCGAATCTAAACTTATGCAGGACTTCTTCAACACCTTTATGCATCAAATATTTGTAGAGGTACTAGTAGCAGCCATGGACTCGCTTCATGCTGCGGGTTTCAACCTGCATTGCAGTATTCTTATTAAACTTTTCCGTGTGTCTGATATGTTTCCCCCGCAGACGCCAGTGCTTGGCCGTTGTGTAGTGCAGGAATTTCTGCTTGAAAGTCTTTCAATTATCCCCACCCTCACACCGACGCTCATAACAGACTTTGTGTCCTCTGCCTATGAGTCGTACAGAGACGATGTGGAATTCCGCCGTCGATTTGCCGATTTTTTGATTGAGGTGCAGGTGTGGGGCGCTGAGGAGGAAAATCGGCTGCAGATGGAGGAGGAACGGCGTCTACGGGAGGAAACCATTCCTGGTTTTGCAGCTCTTTTAACTGGCCCAGCTGGGGTGTTCTTGTCACCCTCTGGTTGAGTCACCATGGACTGAGGATAGCGTTTTTTTTTTTCTTCTCGCTACATCTACGATGATGACGACAACTTGTTTATTTCTTAAGGCGAGTCGGGCCCACTGCTGTTACTGGATTTTGACGCTGACGCACGCGCAAGCTTGCCATCAGCTGGAGAAGAATGGGGGGAGAGAAAAAAGAAAAATCACAGGAGAAAGGACAAATATACATATATATATATATATAACGACAACAGAAAAGGGAATAAGAATTTAACAGAAGAAAAGAAAAAGAAAATTGGCTATTTGCTGCCCTCTGATGGCAGTGTTTGGAACGCCGTGGTGTTTCCCATGCGCTCTGCGGTGCCGTCGCGCACGCGCACATGCATTTACAAGTATACATATTTACATGCATACGTACATATGTGTGTATGGGTAGAGAATTGTGTGTTACAAACTGCGTTTTTATTTGTGCGTGTGTTTTTTTTTTTGCCCTGCACTTTTTTTTCTTAGGCCGTTCTTGCGAGGGTGTCTTTTTTTAGAGTTGCATTATTAGGTATTAACTGCCGCTGTTTCTTTGCGGCAGATGACTACTGCCTACCAGGATGGCTTAAGTGCTAGTGGCACGTGCCGTCAGGGTGCGACCACTTCCACCGCCACAGTAGGCGGCGATTTTGAGAAAAAAAGGAAAACGGATTTGAACTCCTCTCCTCTATCCCATACATTATCTTCACAACTGGCATCTTCCACTAGTACACTTTTATTTTATCCTTTTGATATGCTTCGAGTGCGATTTATGTCACAGGACGGCACGATTCAGCGACAACACAATGGACAAACATATCACTCCATCAGAAAGGCGTTCGCCACTATATACCATGAGGAGGGGCCACGCGCTCTATTCCGGGGTTGCCATGTGGCTGTTTTAGGTTCTGCAGCCGCCTGGGGAGTATACATGTACACCTATCGTTCGCTTTGTTGTTCGGGAGATGTATGCTCTTTTTTAGGCCGGGCTGGCGTTTCTTTTTTGGCAAGCCTTTTGTCAACTGCCCTTACCTCACCAATTTGGTTAATTAAGACGCGGATGCAGATTGAGGATGCAACGAAGTCAAGGAATTACGTGACGTTTGGAAGCGGATTCCGTCACGTACTGCGAACTACGGGGTTTTGCTCATTGTGGCGCGGGTTGTCGCTGCAAATGACGCTTATCCTTCCTAACGCACTGAACTACCCCATGTACGACTTCTTCAAGGGAATGATGCTGCAGGCCCGTTCGCAGTCGACTGTAAAAGGGGGAGAGTTGAGCGTCTCTGAAACTCTTGTGTGCTCTACGCTAACCAAGCTGCTCTTTGTGTTGTTGTCGCATCCTATCATGTTTTTGAAGGTCCGTCTGCAGGATCAACGCTGGAACATGGGCGAGGTGAAATACACCAATGTCCGCCACTCCTTACTCCTTATCTTGAAGCGTGAGGGAATACACGGCATGTTTCGGGGCTTGAACTCTTCGTTGATTCACTCTTTTCCTCGTGGTGTTACGCACTACCTGCTGTACGAAAAAGCGTTAGGGGTTATCAATGCGTACGTATGAGAAGACACCCCACAAGTTTAGGGGGTGGGGGGGGAAGCTGAGTATAAGAGAGTTAAGATGAAGTGGTTGTCTTCAAGAAGTAGTGTCTTTCTTCACGTGTATATATGCATAACATATTTGGTTTTACTCTTAATTTTCTGTCCGTGTATCTTCGTTTGTCGCCTCCGGTAATTGCAACCTAACTGAAAAACGAAAAGCAGGGAAATGGGGGAAAAAAAAAAACTAATAATGAAGCAAAATAACAAACATATGCTGGTCGGCGTGAAGTCAAGTGGTGGTAGGCGTACCGCCCTGTCGGAACAACTCCTTTTATTTTGTCTTTATTTGTGAGCCGTGCTTGACGTCTGTGACTCATACTTTGGGGAGGAGGGAAACGGACAGAGAAAGGGAGAGCAAAGTTGCATTTCTATTGTTGTGTCTGTTTGTTTTGTTTTTACCTATTTGTTATTGTCAATGCCCCTTTTAATGCACGCACGCGAAGGTGAATTCAGGGTTTGTCATTTTCACCATTCTGATAAAAACCGTCGCTGCCAAATGGCGTCGTGGAAGAAGGAGACAAAGCCGCAACGGCAGGTGTCAACCTCAGCTGTCAAGCACACACTTGCAACCCAAGCCGCTGCAGCATTAAGTACCACCATAATGTACCCAGTTGATGTTGTGAAGATGCGATTTATGTCACAGGACGGCACGATTCAGCGGCAACACAATGGACAAACATATCACTCCATCAGAAAGGCGTTCGCCACTATATACCGTGAGGAGGGGCCACGCGCTCTATTCCGGGGTTGCCATGTGGCTGTTTTAGGTTCTGCAGCCGCCTGGGGAGTATACATGTACACCTATCGTTCGCTTCGTAATTTCACCAATACTGTCATGACACAAACTTCACAGGGAAGTGTGGAAGACTTTCTTCTTAGTTTACTTGTTTCGGCTGTTGCCAGTACCTGCTCGGCGGTCTTCTGTAACCCTTTTTGGCTACTTAAAACCCGTATGCAACTGGATGAGGTTTCGGCATCTCCTCGGAGAGGTGGCATGGGAAATTATGTTTCTTTTACGCGTGGGTTGATGTCTACCGTACGAAGTACTGGCTTCTTTTCACTTTGGCGGGGCTTGTCTGCACAAATTCTGCTTGGGTTACCGAATTCTCTCAACCTCCCCATTTACGAGGCACTTAAGTATTACCGTCTTTGGAGTACGTCGCGTCACACTCTCAACACATTTGAAATTTGTGTTTGCTCCACGCTTGCAAAGGTGCTAGTCACATTGTTCTCACAGCCCCTCTACGTGATCAAGACACGTTTGCAAGACCACAGAAGCCGGTGTGGTCCGCTGCAGTACGTTTCTTTTCTTCAGTCTTTTTCTCTTATTTTGCACAAAGGCGGGTGGCGAGGTATGTACCGCGGTATTGGGCCTTCAATGTTGCTGACGGTGCCACGTTCTGTCTTGACCTTCGTTCTCTATGAGTATTTTATGCATCTTGAATAACTGCAGTCCGCTACATGTTAGAGAACAAAGCCGTGTTGTTGTTGTTGTTTTCTACTTGCTTATTTAAAAACAAAAACAATTTCCGTTTTTTTCTCCTTTTTAAAAATTTTATTTATTTGTTATCATTATTTTCTTGAACGACGTCTGCCTACCGTCGTTTGTGTCGGTTGGGGGCTTCTGTTCACAAGGGCGCTCTGGTTGCTGTGTGGGTGCGTTGTGTCTCTCACAACACAACTCCCCCCCCCCACCCACACACACAGACACATGCATACACATACACCTTCTCCCCCGCTCATTCACCTTTTTTTTTTTTTTACGGGTTATTTTTATTTTCTTTCTTTATTGGTTTTGCCCTTGGGAATATACGCGAAGAGACGCACGTGTCTGTCTTTGGCTTTTGTCGTGGCGGCTGACGATGCCCGAGAATCAGCCGCCGCGGCGTTTCCTCACGACGACGCAATCCCAGCATCTCCACAGAGAAGAAAGCATGCGACGGCGCCTGGAGTTGATGCGTAGGGAGTCTACGAAGCCGCCTGCGATGCACTTTGGCATCACCAGATCACTGCCAATGAGCAACAACAAGAGCGGCAAGAGCATCTCTCCAGCACCGCAACTCCTCCTCCCCGACACTGACGCCGTGAAGAAATCATCTCGCTCTGCACCAATGGTGAACTCCGAGCCACGTTCACGCCCGCTGAGCCGCGAGCGTAGCCGTCGTTTGCCGCTTCCGCCGGGTGCAAAGCTGAGGACGCGGGGGCGGTCATTCCCACGTTCCATGTCGTACCGCGGCGTCTCTGCAACTGCCTCACGTGTGACGTCTCCAGTTCCCGCGGCGCAAAGAGAGGCAATACATTCGGCACATCCACAACGGAAGCGCTCACGTTCTTCATCACAGTCAGGAAAGAGTGCAAAACTGGCGCGGATATCGCACCCACGAACAAATGACGCAACAATGGAAGAACGAAGGGCACCGTTTATGTGCGGCGGGTCACCGTCAAAGAGAATTGTTTCACCACTAAGGCGGTCTGCCTCATGTACGCCTCCACCAATGCCTTTTCTCACAACGAAGACGGAGGTAAACGGAAACACGATGCTGTGTTTCACCCCTCCCATGGTACAACTTGACAAGACGGAGGAGGTGGTGTTTTCAATCAGTCCTGTTGCATCCCCACAGACTGAGAATTTTGAGAATGGAAAAGTGGGGAAGGTGCTTTCACCGGAGGCAGCTGAGGAAGAGGAGCCCATTACTTTTCGCGTGAGTGAGTTTCGTCTGCCTCGTACGCCGCAGCACCGCACTAGTGACACCGCGATTCACGTTGTTCTCACGCCACCTAATCTCCAACACGTTTCTCACCCTACGGAGGGGGACGATCTGCGAGCGACGGAGGATGAAATGAAAAACGATAAATCTTCCACAAATGCACGTGGCTGCTCCGCAGAATCGGAGGTGGTCTCGGCTGTTTCTTGCCAGATGAGATGCCCATGTCGCACCACTCGCTAGAAGAGGAGATGGCTCTTGGAAGTACTTCAGCCACTCCTGTTGCTTCCAATGTGGGGGGAAATGAAGAGGAGGAAGAGAAGAAGGAGGAGGAAACGAGGAGGCAGTCGTGTGAAAATGTTGCTACTGCTACTGCCCCAGACCTTTGGGTCCCCACTCAAGAAGAAAATGTTCAGCCTGCCTCGTATGCCGTGGCTGCTTTGGTGGTAATTAACATGGATGTGGCAGTCGCGAAGGAACCAGTCACGTTATCGGCACAAAGTTCTTACGCGTACGAATGCAGCTCTACCACAACGGAGTCTCCCGAACGAAATTTGGAAGCAAGTGAGGTTCGTAAGCTGACCTTTGACAGCTACGATGCCTCTCAGAGGGAAGAAAAAAAAGCGGTTTCTCTTGAGAAACTTACGGCAGAGGAAGTTGCACCGCCTGCTCTCCCACTGCAGCAAGAGAGTGAAGCCTTTTCTCAGCCGTTTTACGCTTGTATCAATGCCCTCTCCACGCCTGAAATGGAGCTCCCGGAGGCGTATCGGCTACTGGAGGCAACGCGCCAAGAGATGGCGGTTCCCCTCAGTTTCCCACGTGCTCCACGTCGTCGTGATGACTGCCGGCGCGAGGAAGGGCGTGGTAGTTTGGTCTTGGTAACGGGTGAACTGCCTCTGGTGCATACGCCACGTATTCAGGAACCGCACACCCCACCGCTGTCGGAGCAGCCAAAAAGATACTCTCCCTTACCAAAGCAGCAGCTGAGTGTGCCTGATGTTCACAGCCCAATGACCTCACGAACAAATACCACGGCGTTGTTATGTTTTGACCGTTCTCCGCTTCCACGACCGGTAACACTACTTTCACAGGTTCGGACTCCCATGCCTTCTTCACAGACAAAAGTTTCTGTAACACTCTCACACAGCCCGAGCGAGGATCGCAGTAAACTGTCTACCCTCACTCCCCAGGCGGAGACCTTCAAATTCAACAAGGGGGGCCCTGAAGATGAGTCTCAGTATGAGAAACGTTATCCGGTTGACGAACGTGCGCTGGAAGCAACCCCGTCGTGGCCATCTGCACGCTGTCGCTCACGCTCCACTGGCAGCCGAAAGTCAATGGTGGAGCAACTGATGGAGTGTTGCTCGCCAGATGCTCGGAAGGAAGTGGAGCACCTCGTTGCTACAGAGGCAGCCAAACAAACCCCGTCGCTGCACCGTGGAAGTGGTCAGATTTCTGAAGCGTTAACAGACACTTCATCCATTTCACAGCGTGTGGTCACACGACCACGTAGGCATTACTACGACTACACCTACTGGGAGCGGTACCTGCGCGAGGTCACGAGGCAAAGTGCGAAGAAGGAGCGAAGAAAAGATGCAAAGAAGTCAAATCGAGCTGCGAGAAAAACTGCGGCATTGACCGTGGCGGTGGAGTCGGAGGCCCATATGAAGCGGCAAGGCCTTCCTGATCAAGAGATCGTCTCGCCGCCTGCGGAGTCAACGCCGGAAGCAAAGTCTGCAGTCACATCAGCTTTGCGGAGGGCAACGGAGGCGGTACAAGAGAAAGCTGCTTGGCGCCCGTCACAGTTGCAGTCCGGTCACACAAAGAAGACATCCGCTAAGTGTGCGTCGCTGAAGAAGACAATGTCGCGAAAAGGCCGCGAACAGATTTCCCGCCGTCGACGTCGTTCATCAGGAAAGCAGAATCGACGTAAATAACTCACTACTTCCTCCGAACACACACCACCCCCTTGTCGGGTTCCTGTTTTTTTTTTGTTTTTTGTTTTTTTTGTTTATCTTTTTCTAGATACCACACATGTGTATATCACTGTACTTTGATTAGAGATGATTTAGAAAAAAAGTTCAACAATAAATAATAAAACGACAACGAAAGATAAAAATAAAAAATGATTAGATTTTATTTATTGTGTATTTACAATTTTACCCGTTTGTATCCCTCCTCCCCCCTCACCCACCTTTTTTTCTTTGTAGTGCCTGCGCGGCGTGCGAGTAGCGCAAGGTCGCGTTACCTTTGCGCCGTGGGTGGGAACGAAAACACTGCAGCTAAGACGACAAAGACGCATCGCAGAAGCTTGGCACCCACGCATAGCTACACCGGAAGGATGTCCCGTAGAGAAGAGCAGTGACTGTGCATTCGTTTGCAACGGTGCTCCGTTGGAGCGCGCCATCTTGTCTCTGTTGTTGTGAATTACTTGTGACTCTGCTTCTTTTTGCCCCTGAGAGAAGCTACTCTTTTCTTTTATTTATTATTTTATTATTTTTATTTTTTGTCTTACGCACATCTCCCACCTTAGTTCCGGCTGCAACGCCAACTGTCTCTGCGCCGCGCTATCACCACGCACACTCATAGACAGTAGCCCGAGAAGGTGTAGGTAACAAAAAGCGGAAAAAAGAGGATAATATAAACACTGAAGGGGAAACACCGGCTCATCGGAGTTGAGGCTCATATGCGGCGTTGCTTTGCGGGGCCGTCTTGCAGGTTTGCTCTGAGCGTTGGGATGCGGCGATGCTCCACTGCATCAAGTGGCAAGGACAGTCTGCAGTCCCCGCGGAGGAGTCCGAAAAAAAAAGCGGAGTCTTTTGGTGTTGACCAGATCAAGTTAGATCTTGCCCTTAACCTTCATGAGATGGACTTTGACGCGATGGTGAAGGCCACACGAGCGGCCTTGGCGAAGGAGCGCATGCGAAAAGAGACGTTAGTGGGAGACGCACTGCATACGAGTGAAGTGATTTCTAGCTGGGAGAAGGACGTTTCTTCCAGCGCCGCATCATCGTCTCCGGCGCCAAGCGATGCGGCTATCAACCCCTCTGCTGCAGCGACTGCCGATTTTGGTGGTGTTGGATCTTCGAAACCGATGGACAGTCAGATGGTTTGTGGAATCGTGAATGCCAGGGGGGCTCACACTACAAACTCATTCGCCGTGCTGCGGGAACAACGCAAGGCTGAAGGGGCTCGTTACGGACTCATGGATGCCTTGCGTGACTGTCTATTATCCGGAAACTGGGTAAAAGCTGTCCACATGTTTGAAACAGCTGTAGAGACAAGCTGTAAAGCGGTACAAACCTCCGTGCCTGTTGCTGCAGGTGCTACAAGTGGAGCGAGGGATATCTTCGAGGCGCTGCGGCGCATTAACGCCACGACACCCCCAGGCTTTCCTGCTAACAGCTCCTCCAGGTACCCCGGGGTACTGCGGTGGAATGGGGGTCATTTCTATCTGCTACTGAAGTTGTTGCTTAGTAAACATCGTGTAACAGAGGCTGAGCGAGTGTGGGATGTGATGAAGCGTATTGGGTTTGTTGAGTTTCACATGAACGCTCATACGTTAAATCAATGCATGACACTTGTTAGAAAGACGACCTTACCAGACATTGTTTCTCCTCTTAAGGAGGACCATGCAAATACGGAGGAACGACTAAAAGCCTTTCGCACAACATTTTTACTTGAATTTGAAGAATGGGCGAAAAGGAAGGGATTTTCCTTGGATGGACGCAATAAACAGCTTACCCGTGTGGCACATCTCGCCGAATTTGTTAAACATGGCAAGAAAGGGGGCGAGGATAAGGGCGAGGTGGATTTGTTAAATGGTGAGGGACTTAAAGTGGGGGACTTTAGTGGTTTGTTGCGGCGATGCCATTCGGAGGAATCGACAGAGCGAGTATTACAGATGATGGATAAATTACAGGTACCACGTGATGGACAAGTTTTTGCAGCACTTATTGCCGCTCTACGGCAATCACATTATCGCTTGACGGCTCAAGACGAGACGGATGCCGTCAGTACCACAAAGGAAGAGTACGATGCCCACCGAAGGCAACGGTTTGTACGGGCCTTTCAATGGTTTGAGGCATGTCCTGAGAACGAACGTACAGCCGATGTTTACAATGAAATGCTTCAACTTGCTCGTGGAGATGAAGCAGCCGATAAAAAGTTTCAGGAGTTGCTTCTTGAATTTCGTGGGGCGCCGTTGTCGTTAGCAAACACCGCCGCTTCCGCACCTGCTCCCGTAGAAGACACCACTAAAAAGAATATCATGGACGATGAGAATGAGGTGAGGCTTCTGCCGCCGCGCTGGCGGGTTATTCCCAATGGGCGCACGTACGAGGTATTGGTTTCTCACTGCAAATACCGGCAAGAGTGGCAGACTCTGTGGGCACTCTACGATGAGGCGATGGAGCGGTGTGTCAAGGGGACGCAGCGATTATATCAAGTATTGCTGGATGTTGCAAAGCACCATCCACCGCAAGGTCGTGATTCAAACGCCGTGGTAATGGAGCTCTACGAGGACATGAAGGGACGCGGTATCGATGTCACAGGCATAAAAACCACGGTGAATGTTGTCAACGCGTGGTGCGCTACCCGGCGTAAGCGGCGATGGTGATGGGGTGGGGTACTAGAAATAAGGTGCATTTGCGAATTGGAGTTGCTTGACTCTGGGGGTTTAAACCAGCGAGAGAACCGATGAGCGGTGAGGTGAGGTATTTGTGTTTGTGGAATAGTTGAAGAGGCGGAATAACCTGAAAGAGAACATATCCACCTTTAACGTCTGTGCATGTATATGTGGCTTTGAATGGATTTCCTTCTGTGGCAGGTATGCGCATCTGCACTCATTGTACATCATTAGGCGGGTGATGTTGATTTATTTTCACATCGCCTCTCTGATGTTATGCCCACAGGCATATCAAGTCTTCTTGACGCTACAATTACGTTATATAAAGTTATTTCTTTATTATTATTATTTTTTCTTTCTTCTCCAAGTAATATATATAATATATATATTATATATTAGCAGGTTAACAATGGCCGCGCTTGAGTCTTTAAACTTTGATGCCGAAACGGCCGTCCATTACATTCACTGTGTGATTTCTGATGTCCCGATGAATCTGGCGTTGTCAGAGTTGGCGCCAATGGTGGTGCCAAGACCAGAGAGCGACACGGTGAAGGAGCTGGAGGCCGTGGGGTGTCGTATTGTTCCGCACCAAATTCAAATGTTTAAAGAACGACTCGAACGAAAGTTTGGGTTTGTTACTTTTTTTATCCATGAAACTTCGCGAGCTGCAAGTGATGAGGAGTTGCATAAACTAGCACTCAGGTGGGTCCATCGGGACCTTACACCTCAATTGGGGTCTGTCAAGGCGTGCGTTGCGTTAGGGCAGCCACCTGAGTGTTACTCGTCGGTTCCGTTTCTGCGAGCGCTGCGCGAAGAGTGTACGTTTTTAGATGCCAAGAAGGTAAAGAATGTGAAGAAGTTGGAGACGTTTTTACTGACAAAGGTTTGTTTTTATTCTGAAGGGTTGAATTTGGACAAAAACAACAAGGATGAGTTAATGGGGGCTGAAAGGAAAAATAATGCGGGTGAGGCATGGAAAGTTGTTGGTTCGTTTGGGATGTCTTCTCTCACGTGGAGCGAGTTGTTATGGCTTGTCCGTGAGCATAGCGGGATGCCTCCCGTTGTAGTCTCAAAGGGGAATGTTGACATTTCAAAATGCGACAAGGAGGCACTTCGTACCTTTTTGGAGGAAACGCTTCTTCCGCTCATAAGAGTTGTTGCGTAGGGACATGCTTTCTTTTTTATTATGGTTAATTTTACCCCCCCCCCCCCCCTCGTAACACACACACACGCACACATTTAATCCCATCCTGCTGGTATGTGGAATGGTGGTGGTGCGTTTGTGTGCCAGTTGAGTCAAGTGTTTAACTTTAAAATAGGCCGTATTCCTTGTTTTTCCTATGATTGTAACGAGCCTTGAGCCCATCTACGTATCTGAATGAGAGCTCGGGATTGTATTCTCTCTCCATATTTCTTCTCACATCATGTGTGTTTAGAGTGGATACCATCGTCGTAATTATTTACTCCTCATCTATCTATCTCAGACGTATATATACACAGTTTCATTCAGCTTCTCCTTCACCTACCGTTGTTGTTGTTTTATCTGTGGTGAAGTGCAGAACGGGGGAATTTGAACAAAGAAGGGGGTAGTCTTGGTCGGTCGTTATGGCATTTTGTTGTGGGAGCGTCATTCAGCGCGTGAGACGCCAACTAGATATGGAGACTTTGGCAGGCGAGACCACCCGACATGAACGACATCACACCTTTAAAAAGGACAACTTGCAGGAGGGTACATTAGTGTGGATTGCCCCCGCCAAGGCTCTGCCACATGATAAGAAAAATACGTTTCGGCTATCTCGTGGGGAAAAGAGCCCACTGACCCTGAAGGAGGCCCAGTTGTTTTCCAACACACCATACGCACGTGGATTTAGTGAGTACATCTACGAGGGTCAGCTGAGGCGGATTAGAGAGATGGAGGATCGAACAGATCCTCGTAGTGCTGTGCGGCAAGGGTACGGCCTATTTTGTTACCCCAATGGTGTTTATTATGAGGGGAAGTGGCACCGCGGTAAGCGTCAGGGCACGGGTTGTATTGCAAGCTTCAAAGGATACAAATACACAGGCGAATGGTGTGACGATGTACAAGAGGGAAACGGCTGTGAAGTGTTTGCATGTCGAGCGGTCATTGATACACACTATGCGAATGGCCTTCCACAAGGGGAAGGTGTTGTGATGTACAACCCCAAACAAAATGCTTACCGTTACGAAGGTGGGTGGCAAAATGGCAAACGCCACGGGAGAGGAGTTATTTTTTATGCAAATGGGGATACTTTTGATTGTTCATTTGAGCAAGGCAGGCGACACGGACGTGGTGTGACAACTCAGACAGTAAACGGAAAGGAGATTCAGTATGAAACACAGTGGCGTGACGACAAACTTGTCAGCATTCCACGGTTAATACCCAAGGCTCTTCGTACAAAGAAACCAGTTTCATCTATTCCATTTCGAACAACAGGGTATTTATTACCTGCTGATCTTATCAATTGGACTGTACAACAGGGGACGCAGGATCTCTCTTTTGAGCACTTTATGCAGTTGAAGTTAGGTTTTGAGTCCTTGGATGTAGTGGGGCGTGGATTCCTTTCAATGAAGGAGCTCCGTGCTTTGTGGCCTGAAAGCAATATGGACATGCTACGCAAGTTTGATTCGGATGGCAAGGAAAGTGTAGAGTTATTTGATATTATCTGTGCCTGGTATCCCCGGGTCTTGCCACATGATATTGCTCGCATGTTGCAGGAGTTTATCTCACCGTTTGATCTCTTTCGTCTCAGGGGGTTTCTTAACGGCATTGATAATGCAGACGGCATGGGTTATTATCACATCTGTGGTGATGCATCCCCTGCAACTGGGATGGAGGGTCATCGGCCAGCGTTACACCTTCGAGAGCTTGAGACTGCGGGGTATCGCATTGGTGGGGAGAAGTTTACTGCCGCCAACTATTCTGCTGCCTGTCAGTTGCATGACCCACCGCACTTTGTTGATGTCTTAGTGGTGTGGTATCCGAATGTTTTGCGTGTGGTATTGGAGCAGTATGAGATGGAGGAGGTTGCGAACGATATTTTGGACGCTATACGGGTTGATTTTAACCGCTATGCGCATTTGTCCACGGACTCTGGAAAATACTTGTTGATTGAAGAGTTTGTTCAGGCTGAGGCCGCGTATCGCGTTCAGTTGTGTGCCGCTTATATGAGCAATGAACGTACGCGGGGTGCCATGCATCCAACTTGTTCTGCTCTTTCCACCGTGGAATGCACCTCATCCTCTAGGAGCGCCATTGAGACGGATATGCGTCCGGGATTTCTCAAAGGAGCTTCTGTGTGGATTCTTGCTAACCGGATACGCCTGAACGTACCGCTACTTCTTGAGATTGAGAGGTTTCATGTACGTCAAAAGGGTCGTGTCACTCTTGATGAGCTGCTTCGTTTTTGTTTTCCTAGCGTGCCCTGTTTGTACACACGGCAAGCCATTCTGGGCAGCTTTAGCGAAACACATTGTAGCTGCATCCTTTGCAACGCAGCGATGAGGTAAGAGGAATTGTGGGAGGAGGAGGATGAGGAGGAGGAGGAGTCAACTCAGTAGTTTATCGCTATCGTTGTGAAACGCTTTGGTAGTTATATATATATTTGCTTGCAAGCTTTGCTTTTCTTTTCTCGGATTGCTACTTCTTTTTGTTGTACACCTTCAGCGTGCGTCGTAACCCTTATCATTGTCATTGTCATTTTTTTTTGTTGTTGTTGTTGTAGGGAATGGGGTAATGCCGTTCACAGATATTCCAATTTTCTTTACCGATGCAGGGCCGTATCCTTCCATTGCAGTTTTGGCAGCGTGGACGTTAGTATTGGGAGTTTCTTTCGTTGTATTTGGTGTGGCGCGGCCCGTCGGGCGTGGCACAAGGGCGCCCACGGCTGGTGAGAAAGAGACGTCATTTTTACCTTTGTGGTGGGTACGTCAGCTTTATTTTTGTGTAGCGTCTTGGCCCCTATTTGACATGGTTCATCGTATGGCCTCCTATATATTTCTTCCATCGCGAGTGCTGTGGCGGCGACACATGCTGCAGCTTCCCGATGGGAGATTCGGCAACTGGGTGAACCAACTCCGCCTTTCAATTTTATGCCTGCTGCAATCGAAGGAACTGCATGGTACCTGTGCGGATTGGCAGCTTCCCATGGCGTCTTTTACCTCGTCCATTGCTCCCTACAGTGTCAATGAGGCTCCAGGTGCCACACAGTGCGGCATCGAAGGAAACGGACACATGAGCAACAAGGAATGGGAGTACTGCCAATGGGTAGCACTTGTGTCCGTGCTTACGACGATGATGATTTTATTTGTTACATGCGGGGCAATCCTCCGCCTCTTTCCATTGCAACCGAGCAAGCATGAGATTCATGAGGACGACTGCAGTGAAGCCGGTACCACGTCGGACGACGACGTGAGTTCAGCATCCGATCAAGAGCTCTGGTGGGGTTTGGGGGAACCTGACGATGCCTGCCTTTTGAGTCCGGAAGCAATCGCAGAGGAGCAGCGTTGGAAATCAATGGAGGTGGAAAAGCGCCTCTCTCAACAGCGTCAACGAGGACATGAGAAGCAGAAGGAAAAGTGTGGTGTTCTTACACTGTTGCATGAATATTGGCCTGTATTTCTCTCGGTGTGCTACGCCGGCCTCTACGCCTTCACTGGGGGTATGCCATTATTGATGCGCTGGGTGTATCCCAGCTGCGTCATGCTTGTGACTGTGTGTGGAATGATTGCCTAACTGCATACGCCTTTTTTTTTTGTTCCTTCTATCATCTGTGTGACTTTTTTTTTTTCTATAGCTTAACTGGTATGAACGTGTTGTCTTTTGCGGGGCTACAAGAATGTCACCCGAGCTGTACGCTCTCTCTCTCTCTCTCTCTTGTTTATCCAACTCTTTTGTTTGTTTGTTCAAAATTATAGACGTTTTTCTCCTTATTTGCCTTGGAGCTTTATTATTGTTGTTTTGTTGTTATTGTTTCCACTTGAGGGGTACTCATGCTTTTGGCGAGAATGAAATGTTGGATGCTTTCGTTCGTGTAGTGACTCGGGAGACTTAACTCTACGATTCCTGCGGCCTAGAAGAGAGTGGGCGGCCCTGCTGAGGAAGGAGTACCTTGAGCAGGTGCGCCGTCCATGTAAAACGACTGTGGAGATGCTGGCGCCGGCTGTTCTGGTTCCTGTCCTAGGCGACGTCATTGGGCTGAGTCCCGTTGTAATGGATTGGGTCGTTTCAGCACTTAGGTCTTTCAGAGGTGACTCTCCGCCAAGGCATCCCAAATGAAACCGTATTTTCCTTGGGTGGGAAACAAATGTGACAATGGTGAATCACTGGTGCGGCAAATACGCCGCACTGAATATGATATCCTTATTTTCAGATTAAGTATTGACGTTGGACGAGCTGCACGATGTCACGGAAGCTTACTCTCACGGCGACGATCCTGCTGGGCGTGTCGTGGGGCGCTGCGGCGAAAGGTGACCCGTGCCTTGCTCACGAATCGCTACGCTACATCCACCCTTAAGGTTCCAACTTTGGACGGGTGCGCATCCATGATGGAGGATGCCCGTATTTCTATTGCAAAACGAGGGATGAAACCTACTATATGTGACGACTTCATCATTCAATTTATTTTGTATTTTTGGCAAGCTGGTGTTTACCATTGGTGAACGCGGTGGCACTGAGCTTGCAGAGACGGCGGATAGGATCGTCAAAGACTTGAACGTGAAGATCAAATTCTCTTCCGTCACTGTGCTTTTTCAGTACAATATTGCTGGCGAGGAAAAGCAACAGGTGCATCGTTGAAAATGCGTTGATGGCACTGCCGTTGCTGAGATGGCCACACTCGCGGTACGGCGAAGGACAGTGGGCGCTTGTCCGCCTGGACCGTGTGACGCCGCAAACTTGGGCAACAGTGGAGGCTTTTTTTTTTTTTGCAGGGCCTGGGAGGGGGGGGGGGGGTGATTACGCAAACTACGCTTACAACGGTGTCTTGTCACTTCATTACGAGCTTAATATGTGCTTTACCTCCCTCACCATTCCACTACGAGCGCACGACGCCACTCGAGAACATGTTTGTAGATCCAATGGATGCAGATCATACAGGCATGGGGCACAAATAGCATTCAGACTCGTGAAAAGCAGTGAGTGGAAGGTTGCGCAATGATATAATTCGCGGCAGCCCTTTCAACAACTTTGCATTGAAGTGGGGGCACTTTGTGAGGATGCCAACACTACAGAATCCTTCTTGAAATGCCTAGGGGAGGTGGAGACATGCGGGGGGGAGATATCGCTGGTGTGTCACACAGCACTGAAGTTTATTACAAAGCGTCCTCTTCCCAACACTACTGTGTGTAAGAGGGGCGACGTCTGTCAGCTTCTCAGAGGTGTTGCTTCTGCATTGCCTGAATGCGCGAAGTCTCTTGCTTCCTACTGGAGAATCCCTTAACCAAGTCGGCAAAAGCGTGGGATGGGCAGTTTTCCGTCTTGATGCGATGCTTTCCACTCTGCAACTTTGTGGAGTTGTTGATTGTCCATCTTTTGTGTAGACTCTTCAATGAGGGCTTGGACGTGTTGTTTTACCTGCAACCTGTCAGGTTTTTGTTCTTGATGCTGTACTAGACATTTCACGCGGTGAGTACGTATGTGTTCCTCCGAGACAAGTTGAAGCCGCTGCTCCATGATCTGGTGCGCAAAGTCGTTTGTCTCTTGTGCCCATGTCACAGCGATTGCAGCGGCATTTGCGGCGACGAGTCACTGCGTCCCTGAGAGGATTTATCGCAACTGTTTGCAAACGAGGAGGCTTCCATTGCAATGAAGAGGGAAAGTACGTCTGCAATGGAAGATGGTCGCGCCTCAACGCTTTGGAAGCTCTACCAATAATATGTATGCCCTGCAAAACGTGACCTTCAGCCTACTGAGTGAGGCCCTTGTCGTGCTTGAGATTAATGGGGGCGGTAAAACGACCCTTTTGCGTTGTCTATTAGGCGGAGTGTTCCCTTCCCTTGGTGATGTATTTCTGCATGGCTGCCGTACCACACGACAGGTAATTCCTAAACCCACTGTAAGCTTCGCTATTGGGTGAGCTACTGAGGCGTTAATATTGCAGCACGGCAACCTCACAGCGCACTCTTTTCTCAATATTATGGGGGATCTTTGCTTGATTCGACGTGGTATGGATTGCAATCAACAGCTGTTTTACCTAATATACGTGCATTGGGTATTTGGCCCTATATGCGTGTTGCCATGCAGGTGCTTAAGTCAACGGTTTAACGACATGTGGATTTGGCAGTGACTCTCGTTGGTTACCCTCCGCCCCTACGACTGGATGACATCACGGAATCTATTGAACTTATGCTCAAGAAAAGAGATGTTTGGGCGGCGATCCATTCGGCGCCGCAAGGTACCACGACCGTCTTCTTGTCAAGGAACCCTGACGATGTTGATATGCTTGGCGATTGCATGTTAGTGCTTGATGAAGGCATGATATGTTTTACAGGGACCCCGGCTAAGTAGTGCGGAGCATACAGGGAGGGATTTTATGTCTCCATTGACGTTTCACGTCTGCAGGAAATATGGAGTTTTGGTAGTCCACAGTACTCACTCAGTGGCTGTCGAGAAGCTGCAGCAGTTTTTTTCCGAGTCACTGGCCGAATAGCCAGCCTGCTGATGGATTTTCGACCTTTCCATTAAGTGGTTTATATCACTCATATTGTATACGGGGAGAATGCAACAGACATGTCTCTTCCCGCGCCTGATGGGAACGAAATCGTGTCCTCGCTAGGGTGTGCGATTCGCACTGTTTTGGCCACATTCGTCCTAGGTAGAGCATACGGTTGGACTTTGCCTGAGACTCGCAAGGAGCGTACAAGGAAGGGGCTACAACGGCATCCGTTTTCCCTGTTTCATCATCGTTTCAGAGACGTTGATTGAGCGGACAAGGCGGATCGGTAGTGGTAAATGCATTGCCCTTAAAAAGGCTGCTCGAGACTTACACGACCGTACCGTTCGCGTACCTCCAGGAAGTTAAGCCCAGGCTTTGATATCCGGAGAGGCGAGACAACACAATTAAGCAAAAAGAAAAAGAAAAAGCTCTGGGCTGCGAAGGAGGGAAGAGGCGACGGCGGTGGCTAAATGCTGAGCAACTGGAATATTACGAATACATATATGCGTTTTTTTTTGTTTTTGTTTTTTTTTTGTTTAGTTTGTCATTGCTGTTGTTTGCATGGAAGGTGTGCGTGTGTGTGCATTTTATGTGTTTCTGCGTGTGTTCCTCCTTACCTTGAATGCCTCTGGCTGTGGTCTGTAGTCCTCCTGCGATGAAGCAAGGCTTGGTAGGAGGTACCTATTCTTGCTCGCATTATTTAATTTCTTCTTTTCGTCCTTTTATTTCCCCAAGTTGTGGGGTTGGGTCGGGTCGGGTCCGTGTGGTCAAATTTGTAGGGTGCTTATGTCTTCCGACGGGGCTGTGCATTCGAAAGTCATTGTATGGAAGCATGGGCATGTGGGAGGTGAGATTAGCGATGATGAGAAAATGAGGCGAGTGGTGGATACAATAAAAAATGATGACAATGAACTGTTTCTTCACTGGATTGAGTTGTCCGAGGACGTTAACGTGAGAGATTCCTGTGGCAACACGGCACTTCACTGGGCTGCTTCACTTGGTAGCCTACCTGCTGTGACCCATCTTATTATTGCTGGAGCTAAAGTAAATGCGTTAAACTGTAATGGGGCAACTCCACTTCATTGTGCCGCCATTTGTGGGTATGTAAACATTATAGAGCAACTTCTGCGCAATGGGGCAGATGCCGCCGCGGTCAACAAGAATGGTCAGACTATGTTTGACTTGCTACGAATTATGGGGTGGGAAGGGGCCTCCATCATGCTTGAACGCCTGGAGGCCGCACTTCTTGGGCCAGGCAACGGTGGGAAGATCACTGTGGATGTTTCCTTTTCGGATGCACCTCTGTTAGGTTCTTTGCCAGCTCCGCTGCTCCCGGGCACCGGTGACTCGGAGGGAAACGAAACAGCTTTGCAGAGTCCTCTGCAAATTAAAGAGAAAACGCGCCATTATGCAGACATTAATGTGATTGACCCTTCGGATGCAGAGGAACTGCTTTACATGCAACGGAGCGCTGAAATAGAATTGCTTGTGTCTAGTGAGATGGCGGGGCGAAACGAGGTAATTATAGAGTATGTCCGATGGATGCTAAGTATTAGGGATACAATGATGCCTGAAAACGTCGTTCGTGTTGAAAAAAGGTCTGGAGAGGTTGAAGTGGTGTTTGGTGAGAAATATTCTCCTTATGGGCCCCATCAGCTTTTGGTGCGCATGGTAGGCGATGCTGAGGGTGAGGAATTCTGGGTGGACGCGGAGGAAGTGGCGGATTGCGTTGCGGTAAAGACGTACGTTGACCGCCATAATCAAACAATCAACAATCAAAGCAATTCACTTAATTTTATTGGTTTTGGTGGGTTTTATAGCCGCGATCCATTGGAAAATGCTGAACGGCAGGAGCTCTCCAGAGAACTGAATAAGCTTTTGCACGGTAATTCACACGTTTTGTCAAGCGCATCAGAATCTAACGCCCCAAAGGCTTTGAGCACACAAATTCCGCCGCTGTGCGTCTCATCGTCGGTGAAATTAGTGCCGCGGCAACCTGTGAATGAGCGAAAGCAGACAGCTTCCTTAAATAGTTCACTGTACAAAGTGGTAGTGAGCCGTTCATCCCATGATTCCTCTCGTGGGATTCCATCGCATGGTAGCGCAGCAAGCACATTAGCATACCAGTGCAGCAGTATGACAACCGTCGCTACGCACTGCAGCAGTATGACAACCGTCGCTACGCACTGCAGTAGTGATGAACATGACGAACACACTAACAGAGGATCTCTCTCTACGTTGCCAAATAAACTGGATTATGTTGTTGCTGCCTCTGTTGGAAAGGAGCCTACTGTTGTTCCGCATGCAATGCCATCTGAAAATAAACCGCCGTACATTCGACAATATTTGTCAGAAGAGGAAAAAAGGAAATACGAAGCATTTCTTAGAGTGTCCGCCTTGAGACATTTGGAACGCAAGAGGTGGAGGCAGAAGATATCATATTATTGATATTGAATAGGCATAGTTTTTTTCTTTTTTTGTTTCCTGTTATTTAATTAATTTTTTTTTCCTCTTCT